GCTTTATCTTTGCATGGCGCGATGCTTGGATGAGACTCCGTGGAAGATCACCGTGGGGGCCGTGAGGTCATCTCTGGCGGTCGTGGGCGTCGACGGCCAATGCGCAGCGGGTGAGACGAGCAAGCATAACCACATCGATGTTTTTTCCCGTTTGTTCACTGGAATTGGCCGAGCTCCTCGTGTGAACTGGGATCATTTCCATCGCGTCGACCATGCGGGTGTGAACGCTATAAAGGCATGCGTGACTGCTCGGAACTTCATGGCGCTCTTGCACGACTTGGAGTCCACGTTCGGTTGGGGCCAGGGGCGCCAGCTGCATCGGGGCGTGAACGATGTTTTAGATGCGCCCCAGTTGTCGCACAAATACCCAGGTGGAGTTCGCAAGTTTACATACCTCACAGAGACGGCCCGCAGATTTCTGTTGAAGTTCAAGTCGTGGGTGCGGACGGTCGATGCCAGGAAACGGCGCAGGGAGGAGGAGAAGCGAGGGACTCATAATCTGGAGTGGTGGAGTGATTTCACGTTGCGCGTATCGGACCTCACGACTATCATGTTCGCAGTCCTCATGGATGGGGCATTGCGCGCGTCGGGTTCCTACGCTCGACTCGTGCAAGAGACCTCTCTGTTGCCCTCGCGGAAGGCGCGCGGCGCCGCATCCTTGATGCGCGCATTTCAAAGGATGTTGGCGGCCAGATCCGCGATCGGACAGTTTTGCGACTTCATCATGTTGCTGATCGGGTACGTTGGCAATGAGGATATCGAGAGGTTTGTTTTCTGCTGGGCTTTGTACAAATGGGGCAATCTGTTTCCGATGCTCCCCCGGCGGTTGGCAGGCGCTCTAGCGCGCGGCACGATCGACGACGAGGACGTGTTGCTCGACCGCCCAGGGCGCGTCCCGGGCCAGGGGGAGTGGGTGGAGGTTCACGCAGCCTGCCAGTGCGGCAGCAGGAAGCGGACAGATCCACGTCGCGCGTGGGTTAGTTGTGGGAAGTCTCGCGTCCTTGCGCCCACTTGGGTTGCGCAGCACAAGCGTCTGACTCTGTCTGCCGCTCTGGATCAGGCGCCCATCCGGCGGCATTACGTCGGGCGAATGCGCCTGCCGGCAAATCGACATTGGCGAGTCCGGGCTCCTGCATGGGCATTGGCAAAGATCAAGACTGCCCTCGCCGAGTTCGACGTTTTCGTTGCAAATTTGGTTTCCGAGTTTGAATTCTACGAGGGTGATGGGGGCACCACCCGAGCTACCAAACATTTTTTCGACGTTGTTGCCATTTGTTTTGCGCCGGAAAGAATGTCGGCCGAGGTATCCGACGACTGCGTGGCGGCTTTGGGCGAGGTATACGAGGTGGTCCGCCCAGAGTTGGAGCGTGCGGTCTGGCCAGCGGCCTCAGTGGAATGGTCTTGGCTTCGTCGGCAGTGGCCTGCTTTCGGCGGCATTGCCGACCAGTGCCGTGCCCTCTGCAGCAGATTGCATGCCCGCAGGCTGTCGTCGACGCCACTTCTTCAACGCGGTGACTCGGCGGGCAGTTCTTGGCTCAAGGTGGGCGATTACTTCGTCGTGGACCTGCGGGCGTTGATGACTACCCTAGGCGCGGTTTGGCGCGGGGCCAGGGGTCTCCTTGCAAAGCCTGAGATTATCCGCGCTATCGCTTGTTTCGGCGGTCCGCGCGCAGCGTGGTGCAGCAGGGCAAGTTTGTTGGCCCCGAGGCCGCAGTCGGTCCCAGAGTGCTTGCGGGCCCACTGCGGGTCGCCTTCGACGTCATGGCGGAAAAGGCTCCGTATGCCATGTCCGCGTTCGTGGCCAGTCGGTCCGACTAGCTGTTGTTGCGGACGTGGAGATTCGCATTGACCACCAGTTGTTTTGCCAGACTCTTGAGACAGACAAATCTCTATCGCTGCAGTGCTGGCACGTTGTCCGGCTGTGGCACCGCAGCCGGATGATCTTTAATGACTCTGAAGCGCGGGCGGAGAGTTGGTGCGGTTCTTTGTCTGGCTTGTGGGACCCGGTCCAAGGCTTATCCACGGCGACTTTGAGCGATCGGCTCTGTTTAAAATTGGCGGGCTTGAAGGGCAACGGACAGGATGACTACGTGATCGCTTCGGCGTGGGCATGATCTCCTCCGACACCTTCTACCGCTCAGGGAAGCAACTGCCTGATGAGTTGCTAGAGCGGCGCTTTCACTGCGCGCCCCGCGCAGTAGGTCTGCTTGGCATAGGAAGGCGGGAGATCCGAAGCTCTGAGGAATTCGGCGGGCCTCGCGCCGCGACGTGGTGGTATGAGCAGGCGAGAGAGCGTCGCCTGCGTTTGGACATCGCCCCGTTATCGAAAGCCGACCGACGGACGGTGTTGAGCAAAGCCACCCAGGGGGCTCTGCGAGCCATGCCCTTCACGCAGAAGGCTCGCAGTCGTTTTAAGATCATGGCCCCTTCTGAGCAGATGCTTCGCTTTAGGGCGTGGCAGGAGCGAAGGCGGGGGCAGGGGCAGGTGGCCCCCCGCCCTATGTCCAAAACCAAACGGGGCCGACATGCCAGAACTGTTATCAATCATCCATCGTCGTCGCCATCAAGCGCCCAGCCCAGTGCCGGTTGCATTCTCATCGTGCCGGCAAAGAGTAAACGTATGAGAGCAGTCAGAGGGTGCAGGAAGCATTGCAAGGGTGGAGGAGGGCGAGGAGGAGGAGGGAAAAGGGGATACGGGGTGCAACTTCCAACATTGTACAGCTGCATGTCTGTCGTTGTCTCTTATGTCCCCTCCTTTTCTTGAACAGTTGGGTCTCTTAAACGGCCATCGTCGAGCCGGCTTGCGGTCGTGTCCGGCTCCCGTCGTGAGGTGCACGAACGTGTCTGTGTATATGTATGTGGATGTGCATATTCGGAATAGAGTTACGCATCTCATCTGAAGGGCATCGTCCTCTGCCGCCGGCCCCCTCTATGATTGTCTACGTTGTTGCGTTGATCGGGTTGGTCGGGTGTCTGGCTGGCCGGTTACCAGACTTGGATCTCGGCTGGCTGGCCGCGTGTGCAGATGGATATTTAGCAGATTGATTGGGTGCTTGGTTGGCTGGCTGGCAGGTTGGCAGATTGGTTGGATCATGGGCAAAACGCGCGCCACGACGACGCACAAGGCGAGTCCGAGGTCGGAGGGGGGTTCGGAGCTCCCTGAAATCAGGGTTCAGGCTGAACCCTGATTTCAGGAGTTCGATTTCGCGAGCTCCTGAAATCAGGAGTTCAGGCTGAACTCCTCATTCCAGGAGCTCCGAACTTTGAGCTTCGGTGTTGTTTTCGCCGAAGCTCGAAGTTCGGAGCTCCTGGAATGAGGAGTTCAGCCTGAACTCCTGATTTCAGGAGCTCGCGAAATCGAACTCTTGAAATCAGGGTTCAGGCTGAACCCTGATTTCAGGGGGCTCCGAGCCCCCCCCCGAGCTCGGACTTGTAATTTGCAGTCGTCGTCGCGCTTGCCGGGTTCAGCCTGAACCCTGATTTCAGGGGGCTCCGAACCCCCCCTCGAGCTCGGACTTGTCATTTGGAGTCGTCGTAGCGCTTGCCAGGTTCAGCCTGAAACCTGATTTCAGGGGGCTCCGAGCTCCCCCCGAGCTCGGACTTGCTTTTTGTTGTCGTCGTAGCGCTTGCTGGGTTCAGCCTGAACCTTGATTTCAGGGGACTCCGAGCCCCCCCCCCGAGCTCGGACTTGTAATTTGCAATCGTCGTCGCGCTTGCTGGGTTCAGCCTGAACCCTGATTTCAGGGGGCTCCGAGCCCCCCCCGAGCTCGGACTTGTAATTTGCAATCGTATCGTCGTCGCGCTTGCTGGGTTCAGCCTGACCCCTGATTGCAGGGAGTTCGGAACCCTCTCTCGAGTTCGGACGTGTCCTTTACATCGTCGTGGCGCTCGCCAGTTTCAGCCTGAACCCTGATTTCAGGGAGCTCCGAGCTCCCCCCGAGCTCAGCCAGTCTGTGTGTTTTGTGTGCGTTTTGTGTGTAAGTGTGTACGTTTGTGTGCGCACGTGCTCGTGCGTGCGTGCGCGTCGATTTGTGTTTAGGTGCATGTGTATATGTATATGTGTATGGAGTGTCTGTGTGCGCGCGCGTGTGTGTGTGTGTGTGCGCGTGTGTGTGTGTGTGTGTGTGTGTGTGTGCGCTTGCAAGTATATGTGTGTGTGTGTGTGTGATCGTCCGCGGGTCCCTCGGTGGGCCGCTTTGATGCCCCAGTGGCAACCGAAGGCGAGAGCTTTGGAAGGGGGCCCTCGCGTTCCCCAAGTTGTCCGGACTCCCTTGTCAAGGAGGGACAAAAGCTATTGTACTCTTGACGCGTCGCGTATCCCCACAGCCCATCCAGAACCGATCGTTTGACGACGTGCCCTCGTCATGGAAGTGAGGTGCGTGCAGAGGTTGAACAGACAGGCGAGGCCCCGGTCACCCCGAAACTTTGTTTTTCAATGTTTTGGCTTGTCTGGGCATGTGAGAGGTCACCTTGAGCAATACTGAGCTATATTGGGCCGCGGTGGGGCGTATCTTTGTCTACCCGAGGTCCTCTTGGAGCCTTCTTGGGAGATATGAAGCTCCAGTCCTTCGCGTGACCCCCCCTGCAGACCAAGGGGGGGTAGTCGGGCCCCCCGAAGGGGAACGCAGTAGGGGGCAAAGGGGGGTCGGAAGAGCACACTTCGAAGCCACCGCGCCCTAAAGGCCTTGAAAATGTATAATGCTACACTGCGCAACCTCATTACATGGGAATCCTTTGCCGATTGCAGTTTTGGCTCAATACTTCATTCGAGTGCTGATACATTCTTCAGCAGCGCCGGGGACTTCGAGCCGTCAGGTTGGCAAAAGCATGACAGCCCCAGATATTGTCGACCACGGCTTTCGAGTGAAGCTAGATGAGATTTCCCTCGATGATTCTTCCGGGTGGAGGCCCGCGCAGGAGGGCGTGGTTCGAGAGTTTTACAGTTCGTTTCAGAGCACTTACATGGCGACGTTGCCTCGCCCCCCTCGGCTCCTGGTGAGTTCAACAAAGTCGCCGTTGGTTTTGATGATGGACTCAGCTGGAAGTACATGCTCGACGACGGCAAAAGCACCATCGAGGCCCTGATGCAGTTAAAAGCAGAGTACGCGGCAGGTACTCTAGGGCCATGCTGCGAGAAGTTGACGCAAGTGTTGGTGTCAGGCGAGCTCGTTGTGCAAGCGGTGCATTACCCATCCGGTGACACTCTCGAGAGGTTCGCCTTCAATGCGCATGCTCACGATGAGGAGAACAACACGTTCTTGCCGACTACGGTGGCCACAAAAATCAAACTCATCAAGTCCATCAAAGCCACAGTTCCGGGTAGCGAGTGGAACTTGGTGCAGACTTGGCTCGAAGGGAGATACGGCGTCGCCAAACGTTCCTCCATCAAGCGGACGATCGCAGCTGCCAAGTGTGTGAGCGACCGCGTAGTGGAGTTTATCGACGAGAGGGCTGCCAGGCTTGGCGCAAAACACGGCATGACATCGGGCTACATTCTCGGGAACGATTACTTTTGCTCCCTGGATGCTAAAAAGCAGAGTACCCGACTCAGCGATGAGGAGCAGCTCGTGGCAGTTACTGTCATGGCGAAGGTGCTCGACGATGGCGCCAGCCTCACGATCGACACTTTTCAGAAAGCGGTATGTCGGCCAATTAAGTTCGCTTGCGTGTGGGTAAAGCACGCTACCAACCAATACTCGGACGTGTTGGGCACGCCGGATGGCCACTCCATGAAAGGCGCCATCGACCGCACCCGTACCAATCTGCTCATGAACGATGGTTCGAGGGCCAAGGCCCGCAACTTGTCTAAAAAACGTTTCTTTTGGGCTTCTGGTTGAAACCGCGTTGGAGTGGTAAGTTGTTTCCGCTTCAGGCTATCCGCGGGCCCGCGCCAGTCGTAGGTCCAGCGCTCCCTCGGGGGTAGCTGACCTTGCCCGACCCTACCCCGCAACAGCTATCGCATCGGGGTGTTAGCCACTAGCCAGATTTTTAGTCGCTTGAACGCTGCCCCACAGGTCGTCGAGTGCATCGCCACGAACCAGCAGCTGGCGCCCACGATTGTCGAGTGCAAGGTTTTGGTGGACTCCCTGAAGGCAGTGAGGGCTCGCTTGCGCGCCCCTGCTCTTTCGGCAAACAGCGGGGCCAATTGCGACGAAGCCGGCGACGCCCTCGACCTGGAGCTGGAGTCGATCGCGGTGAAGGGCGAGCAGGACAAGAGCAGAGTTGAATGTCGTACCCCGGAAGAGCGGACAGCCGATGCGAAGGCACAGATGCACATGGGCGCCGTCGCGACGTTTTCCAGCCAGGCAGAGTTCAAGGCGGAGGTGGTTAGACGAGTAACAGATGCGCACACTAAGTCGGACTGGGTGATCTTGTTGGACGCGTCGAACACAGCACGTCGCGTGCAGACCTCGTACCTCGAATTGATCAAGTCGTCCTTGTCGGAGAAGGTAACTGGCCGCATCGTCTGCATGGTCGGGCCTTCAATGGGGAACGCAGCAGCTTGCTCCGAGCAGATGGCGAGGCTATGGCCGAGGGCGAACGTGTACGACACCAAGGTGACCCAGGGCTCCGAGCATGCCGACCGTTCCAGGGGGTCGCGCGGCGACGAGTACATCATCACCGTCGAACTGCCGAACGCGAAGAATGGGGCGAACGCCATCCCGCACATCCTCGTCACGACGTCCCGCGGCACCCCTTCGGATGCGATGGTGGTCTCTTGCGACGGTGCGTGCGAGCACCTGCAGTAGAACCCCCGGGCGCAGGGCCAGCAGGGCGACGACGGCGTCCCCCCAGAGGACAGGGAGAACACCAACTTCGAGGCAATGCTGGAGGATATGATGCAGTCGGAGGACGGGGGCGGTTCGGGGAAAAAGATCCGTCGCTGGTCTTTCGCGCGCCCGGTCGCGACGTACAGCGCAGTGTTGCGGCAGATCGGTCGGATCTCAGCCTGCAAGACGTGTATCATGGTCTCCTGCACGGCTTCCTCGAATTCTATCCTCGCAGCGCACGCTGCTTTTGCCGAGATGCTGATGGGGGCCGGCCATCGCATCTTCGCGCTCGTCGACCGCCCGTCGGCCCGCCTCCGATGGCACGGGCAACAGGCCCTGTTGACTGGGCTTAGGGCGGCATGCGCTCCGGCTGCTTCGAGCGCGTTCACGTCGGCCGGTTGTTTGTTGGAGAACTTGCAGTTGATCGTCGTGCCAGCTGCGTCCACCACCGTCGACATTGCTGACGTTTCATTCGCTGAGTCGCCTCCTTTATCGGGCATTGACATCGCGGTGGACATCAGGGCGCGGGCGCGCGCGGCCTTCGCCATCGCTCTGAATTGCACGGGCCCCCAGACCTCGTATATGCCGCTGCCGGGCTCCGCTCGGGCCCCGAGCGGGCCCTGAGCGGCATTGGGCCCGCGAGGCTTCCAAGGGGGCCCCCCGTTAGCTCGCGCTTTGGCGCGAGCCTGAGCGATAGCGAAGGCGGCGCCCGATGCGAAGGAAACATTTCCTTCCGTTGCGGGAGAAGGAGTCCATGGAGTACCAGCTCGTCACTCGGCCCGATGGCGACCATACTCGAGTCTATGCCAATGCGAACTTGTCCGAGGGCACCGACGTGGGCAATGCCACGCATATACTGTTCTCGACACGCGCGTCGCTGGAAGCTTTCTTGAAGTCTGCTGCTCGCCCCAGTCACCGCCGGTTTGCCGATCGCTTGTTCAAGATTGACTCCGTTCTTTACGACGGCAGCGTCACGGCGCTGCACGGCGTGTTCGTCGGGGTCGCGGGCGAAATCATGGCGCCGAACGCCAGCCAGCGCCCCAACGTCGAGCTGTGCGTCTGCCCCGGGGCTAGCATGAACCCTGGCTTGGTGAAGCTCTGCGTGAAAACCAGGAACGGGCTCGGCGTCGGCAAGAACTCAGAGCTTCTCCTCGATTACGGCGGCGACTTCAATCTCGCGCTCCCCGTGCTGGCAGGGGGGGCAGCAGAATCCATGAAGGGGCCCATGGATAGATTCCTCGCCAGCCCTCCGAGCGCCAAGAAGCCTCGCATCGATTCCGCGCAGCGCGACGACCCCATGGACGTGGACGGCACCGCGGACCCGACCGCCCAGATTGAAGAGGGGGATGGCAAAGGGGCGCCAGAGCCACCGCCTGCAGACGCCGCGGCCCTCGCAACCCTCGCGGGTGGCGAGGGCGTGCCAGGAACGGCGGCCGCAGCTTCCCCCTGGCCCGATCTGTCCAAGTTCGGCAACAATGCTGCCGCGAAGATGGTGTGGGAGAGCGGACCTCGGGCGTATTGGCACGTCTCGTCCGATGCGTGCAAGCGTCTCTTTCTCGTTCGATCTGAGCCTCCTTTCACCGAGACTGCGCAGACCATCTTGGGGCAGTTCGTGGGCGGTGCGTGCGGGAAGTGCGACGCCTCTGATGACGGCCTGAACTTGCCCTTCAACTTGGCCTCGGACTCGCTCATCGTCTTCGACGGCGAGGTCATGACCTTCGAGGCGGCGTGGAAAAAGGCACTCAAGGCCAACCTGGGCATGACCATGTGGGGCTTCTATAAGGTGTCCGGCGCCGTGGACGCCGCATCGATCGAGGCAAAGGTGACCTTGTCCACTTTGAACGCGTGCCGCTTGAAACCGAAGGCAGGCAGCACGTGGATCGACATCCTTGCGCTTGTCAAGGACGGGGTCACTTTGAAGACCCGCGCCAAGCTCGTGCCCATGTGGCGAGTCAAGGATGGCCACCTTTCGGGGCTGCGCTCGTCAATGTCAGGAGGCTCGTCGTGCCGCAGGGCACGCCGAGTGAGTTGTCCACTTGACGTGGCTCAGGCCCGCAGGGGGGCTCACCGCTGCAGTTTTGAGGGGCCCCAGCGCTGGCCATGGCGTACTGTGCGCCCGCGTGCGTATACGCATATTTACAGACATGTGCGCACCGCGTCAACGCCCAGGCCCGGGTTCTAGGACAAGGACGTAGACCAGGCCAGGACAAAAAACAACAACAACAAAATCAGATCAACACAGGCCCAGGTTCTAGGGCAACAAGGACGTAGACCAGGCCTGGGCCTACGAACCGGCGTCGCCCAAGCAAACAACAACCCACAGCGGTTGAACGAGTAGAAAGTCGCTCGCACCCTGCGTTGGCGACCCTCGTAGCAGCGATGATTTTGAAGCCCCGCTCGTTTTGACTCTGGCTCGAGGAGACGGCGCGCTGGCAGCGAGTCCGATGGAAACCGTATCGTCTGATGCTACAACTCCGCCCCCTTCTATTTGCTTTCCCGTTTCCCTTCGTCCTCCCCCGCGCCCTGCTGTACTGCCCCCCGCCGCCCCCTGCCCCCCGTCCCCTCTCGCGGAAGCCGTGGCATTCGGAAGCCGCGTGAGAAGAGGCGCGCTTGCTTCGCAGTTCCGAACTATCTTGGGTCGTTTTTTTGATTGCGTTTTGGGCATCTCTCCCTGGCCCCCACTTCCTGGCCCCCAGCCGCGTCGAGGCGTCCCTGGCCGGCGGCCCAGGCGCGAAAAGGGAGCAGCGAGTCCGAGCCCGGCGATGGGCGCTGGCGGGGTCTCTCGGTAGGGGGGTCCAGGGCATTTTCGGGCAGGGCCGAGGAGGCGCGGGGGGACGGGGGAGGGGTGGGCGGAGGGAGGGGAACAAGGCCCGCTGACAGCAACCGAGTTTGGTTGGCATCGTTCCAGTTCTCACCAGAAGAGGCGAAGACACGGCATGAACGAATTCTGAACAGGGTCCAAAACATTCCTGCGGGTTCGTTTTGTATGTGTTATTGCGATCCCCATCCCATCGCCGATTGGACTCAAGTATGTCGCGTGGCTGCTCGATGTTAAATGTCGTTTGGTCGTCGGCCCGCCATCGTTGGCAGCATTAGTATTCAAGTGGTTTGCGCCGTTCCGCCGGCCCTCGGAAGAAGTGAACTTTGTGACGATCGTGGAAGTTTTCTAGTGGCCTTCGGCCCCATCCACCACCATGCCTGGACTCTGCGTCAGAAGCTTATTGGACGCATATAGGGGTCGCTTGAGATGCCTCTCAGTGGCTTCGTGTAAGTCTCCTAGGGGTATCTGGGGGGAGGCTTCTGGGGGCCTCTTGGGGGACTCTTGGGGGCTTCTTGGAGGCTTCTTCGGGCCGCCTCGGGGGCGCCTGTGGGGCTCTCGTGGCCTTCGCGGGGGGAAGATGTCAGCTTGTCTTCTCCCTCTTGGGCCCTTTCAGGGCCCCTCTGGGGCCGGTTTTGGGCCCTCTTGGCGGCCTCATGGGCCGTCTTGGGGCCATCTTGAGGCCCCCTTTGGCCGTCTTGGCCTAAGGCTTCCTTCAAAACCAGATTGCTCTGTTGACGAACCGCTTAAACGTAAGACCCCGAAAGAGCTCACTCGGGAGACGAGTAGATCTGGACCTTCCAAGTGGTGGGGCGGTACATCGTCCCATTCCACTCCATGGGATAGCAGGGAGTGGCCGACAACGAGGCGGTCTCCTGGGTTGACAAGCTGCGATTCGCACTTTGCATATTGGCAATGATAGTGTGAAGGCTTCACGGCTGGTGCCGCCGACCCTGAACGCGGAACCTCCACCGGGACCCCCGCTGGCGCCACCCCCGGAAACCCGCTGGAACCCCGGGGGGGGCAGTATTCTTCAGCCACGCGCAGAAGGGGGGGGGAGGGGGGAGGGCTTCTTAGAAGCCCCCCTTCTTCTTCGAAGGCGCGGTCATTATCTATAGATGTAAGGCCGGCGCCTTCTAAGAAGCAGCCTCCTTCTAAGAAGCCTTCCCCCTTCCCTCCACCCCCTTTCGCGCCGCCAAATTCTGACCCGGAACCACCTTCCCGACCACAGGTTGGAAACCTCCCTTAGGGCCCCCTTGTGGCGACACCCCCGGAAAGGGGTGGTCCGCTTGTCCCCCTGTCCCCCTGTCCACAGGGATGACCCCCCCCTGGGCCCACCAGGAACCCGGGAGGGGGGGGGAATCTGACCCAGGACCTTCCCCCGCCCCCCCCCCCGTACCATTGCAAATGTATTGCGCCAGAGAATTGTATTGCACTGTATTGCAGCTAATGTATTACGCGCGAAAATCCAGCAATACATTTGCGCCCTGGAATGTGTTGCGCGGCTCAAGTTTATTGCAACTTACAAATCTATCGCATCAAATCTATTGCACCACCCCCTTGTCGCTTGACCCCTTTTTGGATCAACCAGAATACCACCCCCCCGTCAGGTTATTATGTTCCAGTGTACTTTAGCTTTGATCGCCAGAAATAATTTCGAGCACCAGAACAGGAAGGGTTTTCACGTGTCGGGCCCTGGTCGGCACTGTTTCGACACTCTTTCGACAATTTTCTGGATGCTTGAAATTATTTCTCGGATGTGGTCTTTCAGTACGATGGGAGCAACATAACCGTCAGGGAGGGGAACAAGGCGAGGGAATCGATTTAACGATGACGTTTATTTGCTATGTTCGTTATCTTTTCTCTTGGGACAGGCGACGACTACGAAGTCGACGACGATGGCGACGAAGACGACGACATCGTCTCACACACGCCGGAGGGTCGGCGGATTTTGCGATGATTGGTCTGTGTCAGAAGTCGCCCTGTCGGCCCTTCTGGGCCTCAGAGACCCTCGGGCGCACTGGATGAAGGCCAGGAGAATGGGCCCCTCAGCGAGCAGAACATCCTCCATACCAGGCCCACATCTGGTTTTGGACCTTCCTGGTGACAGCGTCAGCTATGCTGACCGCCGACGAAATACCATCGGAAACCTTCCTCAGCAAACGCACCCGCAATCTGGTCAGCAATGTCGTTTGTCAGAATATGGCTGGGATTCAGTCCCAAGGCGGCCGCCTCTGAGCACTCCATGTGGCTGAAGACCCAAAGCACGACCACGTCCCGCTTACAGCAAAGGGCCTTCACGCGGGCCCGCAGATCACGGTGAGACTGGAATTTGGCTGACGATCCCGCAAGAACCTAGACACACCCCCAGCCACGGAAGCAAGGCCGGCACCATGTCTCAGCGAGGAGCCTTCGGGGGCCTGCTCCAAATCCTTGAGCGACGCCCACAACTCACCACGGTTCACATTCTGCTCGACAGGATTGTCCATACAGCAACACGCGCCAGACTCGCCGCTGCCGTCGCGCTTAAAAGCCTGTCCCAGCTGTGCCGAAAAATCGCCACTCCCCAGGACTTCCCACGGAGCATACGATCTCTGGAGAAACCCCTCCCGCTCGCATCCCCAGCTCCCCAGGCGCGGCCACTCGCGCGCGTCGCCCGTGCGCGCATGTCGAAATCCGCCAGAAATCCCCCATCACCGACGCGAGGACAGGGTCATTTTCACTGGCGTGATCAGCATCGGGGCCGTCATTGGTTGGTTTTGTCGTCATCGTCAGCATCTTCACCATCATCGCTACTAGCATCATCGTGTCAACCGCAGGCGACGTCGCCATGATAACGCGCCCGCCTCAGTCACCGGCTCGCACTGAAGTGCCCGTTCGGGAGTGCCCAGCAGTCAGCGCCACCGCGGCCGCGTCGGTCGCGCAAAACTAGCTCGGGCTCGCGCGGCGAGCATTCTCGGGCTCGCGCGGCCGCAGAGATGCAGCATCCAACGCCAAGCACTCATCGCAATCACCGCCGCATGATAGTTGCAAGCCAAGTTGCGGGTTGGTGAGTGGGAAGATTGCGCGAGCATTGTTCAGAATTAACTAGTTGGACCGAATAGGTTGCACCACATAGGTTGCACCACACACATATATGTACATCTATATATATACATATATTGCGCCGCGTTGATCGCACCACGCCGCTTACACCGGATATATATATATATATATATATATATATATATATATTGCACCACGCACACTTGCAACACTTACAGGATCACATGTATTGCGCCACGCAGGTTGCATCTAGCCCGCCGAAATTGCACAACGTATGCTGTTTGAACACACTGATTGGGGTCAATGCTGGCTAACATTGTCATGTAGATAGCCATTCGCATTGACGCATGTACACATCCCCTGTCCCCCATCATCCCCCCTTTCCTCTCAGCCATTTGCTGTTCCCCAGTCCCGTCTTGGGAGGAGGAAGAGGAGGAGAATACGGAATATCGTCATGAGCAGCAGCAGCAGCAGTAAGAGGATCCGCATATCGAGAAACGTGGGCCAGCAGATGAAAGAGGGGAGGAAGACGAACGCGAGGATTCTGAGGGCAAGAAAAAGCCAGATGGTGATGGTAGCCGGGATGATGATCATGATGCCGACGACAATGATTCAGTTGATGTTGATGTTGATGATGGCGAAAGTGATGTTGATGATAATGATGATGATGATGATGAGGATGCTGGTTATGATGATGCTGGTGATGATGATGATGATGCTGCTGATTGTGACAACGATGCCACTGACGACGATATTGACAATGTTGTTCTTGATGACGATGACGATGCTGATTATGATGATGGTGGTGACGACGACGATGTGAATGCTCATGTTGATGATGTACCGCAGGGTTGTTGAGGTGATGATGGTGGCGAGTGGTGATGGTGAAGACGACGATGATGATGCTGCTGATGATGATGCTGATGATGATGCTCATGCTGATGCTGACGATGAGGATGATGGTGATGCTGTTGGCGATGCTGATGGTGATGATGATGTTGATGGACATGAATCTGATGATGACGATGAGGAGAAGCAATACTTCGCTGACGAAGATGGGCAGTAGCAGCAGGATTGGCACGACGACGATACGACACAGTAAGGCAATACTAAGAGGACCACGCATTTGTAGAGGAGGATGAAGAGGACGGCTGGGGCAATCAAGACTGAAGACTAGCATGCGAGGAGTACGAGGAACATGCAGACTAGAGAATTATGATGGGGGAGGCAGAGACGGAGGAAGAGAAGGAACAGGAACACACGGATCGCGGCGAGGACCAGGAGCAGGTGACCCAGCGTGCCGTCAGGCCAACGACGCGCGCACCTTTGTTTTGTCGCTGCAGCACTGGCTGGGCGGCACGCCAGAGAATCTTGAGGCGATGCTGATGCGCGTTGCAGGCCGAGGGCGCTGCCTCTGCTGCATCCCTCCTGACGGAAGAAGGAGGGAGGAGGGAGAAGGAGAAGGAGATGCTGGAGGATCAGAGGAAGTATCAGGAGCAGCAGGACGGGGATGAGGAGGGCGACGGTAAAACGGAGGAGGAGATGGCTGGGATAGTAGAGGAGGTGGAGGATGATGAGGATTGGTTTGGGATTGTTCCGATTGAGAGCCCCTGCTGCAGAGTCGAGCAACAGGGCATGTGCCCGCTCCGTGTGATCCACCTCGCATGGGAGCCTTTATTGTCTTATGTTGAGTGTGTGTGGGTCGGTGCAGGGAATCATGACCACCGAGTTCTAAAACCACTTCTGGAAGAAGCTGAGCTTGAGTCCTTGATGACGCCGCCGCACAAACATACGCCTGGCTGGATCTCGTTGACTCGCTCAGCATACTCTCCGAGCCCAGCACGGCCATCCACTGCAGTTCATTTGAAGTGCGAGGACCTTCGAAGGTACAAAGAGCGTAACAACCCGTCTTTTTTTTCATCTGCACAATCAAGCGCAGTGGAGCTCATAGGCCAGCAGTACCGCGTCTGCCTTTCTTCGCCCCTCGGGCCCCCGGCCAGGCTCTGCCGCCACGGCTCCACCACCCTTGGCCCACCGGGCCACGGCGGCGGCGCGCTCTCCCTACATGGCCGGCCGGGCACCGGCCTGCTGCAGTGCGGGGCGCCAGCCTTGCCGACGGGCGGCAGCACGGCCCCCCACCCGCCCGTCAGCGGCCGCTGGTCCCCGCACTCCCACGCGCGCTGCCGACCTCCGGCCGAGCTGCCTGCAGGAAGGGGCGCAGTGAGCAGCGCGGTGGGGTCGGTGCTGCTCGCCGTGCCGCGCGCCTCCGCGCGCCTCTTCGTCCTCTCTTGGCGGCCACGCCGCCCTGCAGCTTCGGCCTCAGCAGAGGGTGATGGGCCTGTTTTTCACCACCACCACCATAAGTTGGAGGGGAGAAGGAGGAGGAGGAGGAGGAGGAGGAGGAGGCGGAGGAGGCGGAGGAGGAGGAGGCGGATGACGAGGAGGAGGAGGCGGAGGAGGAGGAGGAGGAGGCGGAAAAGGAGCGAGGGGCAGGCCAGGAGGAGGAGGAGGAGGAGGGGAGGAAGGAGGAGGAGGAGGAGGAGGAGGAGGAGGAGGAGGAGGAGGAGGAGGAGGAGGAGGAGGAGGAGGAGGAGGAGGAGGAGGAGGAGGAGGAGGAGGAGGAGGAGGAGAGGAGGAGGAGGAGGAGGAGGAGGAGGAGGAGGAGGGGAGGAGGAGGAGGAGGAGGAGGAGGAGGAGGAGGAGGAGGAGGAGGAGGAGGAGGAGGAGAGGAGGAGGAGGAGGAGGAGGAGGAGGAGGAGGAGGGAGGAGGAGGAGGAGGTGGAGGAGGAGGAGGAGGAGGAGGAGGAGGAGGAGGAGGAGGAGAGGGGGTTCGGGGGGTCTCTTGCCCCAGGAGCCAGGGCCATTCCCAAGCTCGGCGTCCTGAGCTCGGGTTGGGGCTCTGCGTGCTGGCCGCTTTACGAGTGTGAAAGGAGGAGGAGGAGGAGGAGGAGGAGGAGGAGGAGGAGAAGGAGATCATGCTCACAAAGTTCATCGGCACTTTCACGAAGACTCATTCTTCATGACCTGCGCGCGCTCCCAACGGCGCATCGGGAGATTCAGCAGCAGCCCAAGCCATCCTGCAAGCATTAGCCAGATCTCACGCCCACGCTGCCGCAAGTCCAGCACGTTCTTCACAATGATCAGCACCTCCTTCATCTCCTCAGGCTCCAGCGCCACAGCCTCATCCGTAGCAGCGGTCTTGATGTTGGGATTCTGCCTGGACACGTACCCTTCCTCCTCCTGCACCCCCTCGAGATCGGGGAAATTCGGGACAGCAAGGAAATTGAGCTCGACGCAGGCCTCCGTATCGGTCACGTCCTGCACCGCCGCCTCGGACTCCACCCGTCGCCGAGATTTCCTTCGGCACCCGCTCGGTGATCTCGTCGAGGTCGTCAGCCCAGCGTGCCCCCTTCGGGGCCTTCGCGTCGGCCACGTGCGCCGCCTAGTCGACCTCCACGGTCCGCGCGCTCTCCTGGGTCACGGCCTCCGGCACCTCGCCGCTTGCGCTTCGCCTGGGCGCCCGCCTTCGGGAGGGCGCGCGGGCCTGCTCCCAGCGCCGCGTGCGTCGCGACGTCCAGAGGTGCGCCCTGCGGTCGCCAGAGGTCGGCGGGCAGGGACGCCTTTGCTGGCCTGCCGTGACCTCCGCGAGGAGGTACGGCTCAGCCAAGCGCTGCTGCTCCTTCACCGCCTCGACTTCCACGTCCTCCGCCTCCGAGTGCCCGAGGAGCTGCGCCCCAGCGCGAGCTGCCGCAGCAAGCGCCGCCGCCACGGCCTGGCGACTGCCTCCGCCATCCGCATGCCCAGGAGGAGATGGAGCAGCAGTGCGCGGGAGAAGGGTGAGGACGACGTCGGGGAGGAGCAGCGTGGGAGGGAGGAGTGGGAGGGCGTGGGAGGGCGCAGAGGTCGATCGTTGTTCTGGTTGTCCCCGGTCGCTTTGGAGGGTGCGCCCCGCCTCGCTGCCTCTTTCCGGCTCGCACGCCGCCTCTCTCGCGTCCCCCTGGGCGCCCCGTCCGTGCGTGGCCTCTCTCCGCGCCCGCCGCAGGGCGCACCCGCCGCCTGCAGCTGCACGCCTTCCGCGGCTTTGGCTGCGCGTCCCCACTGGCCTTCAGTCGGGTCTGCCCCTTTACAGGAGGAGTATTCAAAAATAGTCAAACATAGTATGGGTACGATTTCTCGACTGCAGTTGAGTATTTCTGGGTATTTTCTGACTAGCTTCTTCCCTGCGGTCTCCAAGCGCCCGCTTGTGCAACCCCTTCCTCGGGGCAGGTTTCACCGCGAGGGCTGGCCTCAGCGCTCGTTGGCACTTCACTCTGAGGCGACGCGTTTCAGTCACTCGCGATTCTGGCGCCACATCGCCGGCGGGCAAAGGTGTGTGTGTGTGTGCCCTCGGCCGCCTTCCCACGCGCAATTGGGCTCTTCCCAGGCGCTTCCTACAGCATTCGTTGCGTGCTCCGCCGGCCCTCCCAGCGGCATTCCGCGTTGTGACCAGGTTGAGGAGGTACGGCGGGCTCTGCATGTACCGCGCATCGTGTCCTCCTGCGGTTTTGTCGTTCCATCATTTTCCGTTTTGTGCTGTGCATTCGCTGTTGCCTTTAGTTGGTTGATCCCCCATCGATTTGGTCTGATTCGTCAAAACGTGTATGATTGCGCGTGATTGTGTGTATGTATGTATGTGTTTGTGTGTGTGTATGTGTGTGTGTGTGTGTGCGCGTGCGTGCGTGCGTGCGTGCGTGCGTGTGTGTGTGTGTGTGTGGATGTGTCTGAGTTTCTTGAGAATTTGGTTTCGGCTTGGGCGCGGTCGTTACTGGTTCGACTTCAACTTAGTTTGCGTGGCCCGCTTGCTGCAGACGCGATTGTGTTTCACATCGCCAAAGGGGGAATAACATGGTTGATAGTGTGAGCCGCCCAGAACAAGTATAGAACGGCAGCTGCGGCACCCCGCAGGCAATTACTGCCCATCCATCGAGAGCGGCACCATCGAGGCGCTCGCCGAGTATTCCTATCTGCATCCGTTCTCCTCATCACATCTTCCTGCCGATAGGCCATGTGCCATTATTCCTCCCACCCCGTCCCTGCCACTCCCTTATTTCTGTGTTTGTCAACTTTCCCTGTCTTTCCTTCACGCGCTCCATCCCCATCGTCTTCAAATGCTTCTGCTGCGTAGTCGCCCCCTCCCCGCGAGTAATACCCAATCTTGTAGCTTTGCTTGCTGCTTCATGAAGGCGTGCGCCTGAATTACTGTTTGACCTATCCTGTGCCATTCGGGGAGCTCTCCTAGTCGATGGGAAGGTCAGGTCATGCGTGGCATGACAATCTGATAATGTGTGCGGGTGCCCCTGCGCCTGACAATATTATTGTTATTAGTTGTGTGGAGCCTCATCACGACCAGACTGACGAGGTGAAGCAGCATGCTAAGGGAGAGCAATGCGGGATGATGATGAGGTGGAGCGGAATCGAACAAGGGGAGGGCGTTGAGGAGAATGATGCGGTGCCGTGAATTGACGCCCTGCCCGTGTTCAGCAACCCTGCAGAGGGCATGGGGTGCTCGGAAGAGGGCTGCACGCTCTTGGGTGCCGTTTGAACTCGCGATCGATGGACGAGGGGGAGCATGTGTGTTGTCACCGAGATTGTGTATCCGCGCGCGTGCTGCTTTGGGGGAGGGGGGGGGCGAGTCTACGAACGTGCTTACAGGAGAGGCTCGCCCTTCGGGAGGTCAGGTCGTTCCTCCCGTTTCCAGGAGGAAATTGATGAGGAGGAGGAGGAACAGTGAAAAGGAAAGAGGAGAGAGGATGAGAACGAAGAGGAGGTGGAGGAGGAGGAGGAGGCATCAGGCGAACGGACGAGGATAAGAAAGTTGAGGCCTCTCCAGGTGGACCAGATCATGGACCCCGTGGTGTTGCCAGACCAGGGCATCTGGCACCCGCTGGCGCCACAGATCTTCGACACCATGGCGGACTACAAGGAGACCTGTCCAGCTCCTCCCCTGCTGCTGACCCTCCTCTCTCGGGCGTGACGGGGCGTGGGCGGGGCAAGGGGCAGCGGGAAGAGGAGCGAGGGGCAGGCCAGGTGGAGCAGCAGCAGGAGGCGAGAGACGCACAGGGAGGGGAAGAGGCACATCCCGGAGTGCAGGGGGAGCATGCGCACCAGCACGCGGCACGAGGCACGATGCGCACGATGCGCGACGACCACGGGGCGGGGGAGCACGGGGAAGCAGCAGGAGGAGGGGATACAACGGGGTGGAAGGCGCGGAGGTGACGGAGGGGAGCACGGAGATGGCGAGGAGGTGGAGGAGGGGGAGAGAGGAGGTGACGACGGCGAGGACGGCGACGACCGCGGCGGCGGCGGCGGCGTCGCGTGGAGCGCGGCAGGCCCCAGCGCGGCGCTCCGAGCGAGGCAGGGGGTGCCCTCAAGGCCGGCGCACCCCTGCGGGCCACCGCTCGGGACGTAAGAGACGGGGGCCAGTGCAAACGGGGGTCAGTCAGAGCACAGGACTCTGCAGCATCCGGCAGAGCTCGGTGGTTCAAAGATGGGTCCTGAGGAGTGGGTTCCTCACGACGAGGTGCCTCAGGCAACGTAGATCCACCCTTGGATCCCTTCCTATCCTTAAGCCCCCAGCCCTCAGGACCCCATCTTTGAAACACCGAAGAGCCAGGGTGGCACTGACCCGGGTTGGGTGCGGGATCCTGCAGGGTCCCGCAGGGTTTTGCAGGGGCTGACTGACCAGGGTCCGGATTGACCCGGGTCAGTAGATCCCCGAGCCGCGCGCCTCGCGGTACGCCTATTTCTCTTTGGGAGGCTACAGTGGGCGGAGGGAGGGTGGCGGGCGCCGAGGCGAGAGAGCGTCCCTCCGAACGACCTACGCCCAGGACTGCCAGCTTGTCTGAGAGTTGAGTGTGGGAGGCCCTTGCGCGGTCTGCCACCTCGTCCTCCAATCTGCATTCGTTTTCCTCACTGTGCGAGTCCAGATTTTGCAATCGGGCCTGGCCGGCCGTGTGAGGCTGCGTGCGACAGGCAGTCGGACTGGAGAGAGGTGGTGCTTTGCGAGTTCCCTGACCTTCCCTTTCCCCAAAATGTTGCGCTGAAGAAAATCTACGCGCCTCCCTCTCCGCTTCGCACCGAACGATGTTTTTTTTCTTGACGTCAACAGGTCCTCTCTGGGGCACCCCAGGCGTCGCAGCCAACCCATTGGGGAATGTGAGGCCATGGGCTGGCGGGGCGCAAACTGCCAGATCTGGCGCGGAGCGCACCTGGCTTGCCATCCCGCCCCCCTCTCCTCCATCCTCGCACCCCTCCGTGTCTGTTCATCCCTCGCCTCGAACGTTTGGGCGGTCACGGAGCAAGTTTCAGGGTTTGGCTTCGGGAAGTTTGTGTCCTTTTCGGCCTCCAGCGGTCCCAGGACGGTCAGACAAGGATCCCCGGCGAACAACTGCACCAGATGGACCCTGGGAGGGGTCCGGTGACAGATTCGAGCGCATTTGGCTCCATCCCTTTTCCTTCCTCCTCCAGCCTCCCACCTCCCACCTCGTCGAAGAGGGGGACATCGCTGGACACCCCGTTGGATCAACTTCGGCTGGGCTGGTGCATGGACGGTGTATTGCAGGATCTCTGATGCATCTGTAATTCACTCTGGTCCCTCCTCCTCCTCCTCCTCCTCCTCCTCCTCCTTCTCCCCCCCTCCGGCCTCCCGCCTCAGAAGCCCTCCGGTGCCCACGCAGGACCTCCCCGTCGGGAGGCCGACGCTGGGCGGGACCACCGGCGCCCCGGCGCCCCGGCGTCCCTATAGGAGGGGCGCCCCGGGAGGGCCTCCGCGGAGGCCCTCCCGGGAGGGCCTCCCAGACGTGACGATCGAACAACACGCACCCATACCCATCAGGAGCGAAAGAAGGACGTACACGTACATGAATCCACGCTGTTTTCGAGATTTCGCATTCGGCGAATATTCGTATCACGCGGCCGGTCTAGCGGGTCAAGGGGCCGTGTTCATGTACATAGCTGGGCGCGTACGTCCTTTGTGGGCTCCCATACCCATAGGGGGGACGGAGGAGGCTATGGGTGCGTGTTGTCGGATGGGGGTCCCCGCTCGAGCCGCAGCTTCCCCCAGGGTCCGACCACCCGCACCCATACCCATAGTCAGTAAACCCCTCCTTTGGACCCTCCTATGGGTATGGGTGTGAGTTGTTCGCTCGTCAAAACGCGCACCAAGATTTCGATCTTCGAGTCTCCGTTTAGGTCGGGCATGTCCTCCTGCAGGCGGATTTGATTTGGGATGGAAAACCAGAAATAACCGCAAAAGTCAGGAACATTCAAGCACAGTCGAAAAGTTGTCCGCAGATTATTTTTTTGACTATTTTTGGGTACTCCTCCAGTATAAGAGGGGCATGCCCGACTCAAGCCTCGTCGTTCCTCTGCCCTTCTCCTTTGGCGCAGGAGTGGTACGACGGCCACTGCCAGCTGGCCGACCTGCCGAAGGACGCGCCGTTTGTCGGGGTGATCCTCCAGAAGTCGCACATCGCCACCAGGGACGACGGCCACTACGTCGCCCTCGTGCAGGACGCGGGGCCACGGGGAGGCCCAGACCTCTGTCAAGAGAGGCAGAACCACCCGGACCCGACAGTTGACGTTCACGAAATGGCCTGGGGCAGTCATTGAGCAGCCCTGCCCTGCTCGAGTCATTCCCCCCTGGGTGCGTTTACTGAACGGCTTCGCTTGTCGGGGCGGTAACTATTGGGGGTGGATTTTCTGCCCTCTGCAAGTCGTGCCTGTCCCTCCACAGGAGGAATAGCCAAACATAGTCAAACAATCGTATGGGGACGTTTTTTGTTTCCCTGACTATTTTCGACCATTTTGGAATATGCTGTGAGTAGTTTTTATTTTCGGCCAAAATCTGCCTGTAGGGGGACATGCCCGACCTAATGGTAAACGGTTTTGCCGTTTTGGAGGCGGCTGCAGCGTCCGCGTCGCCACAGTTGGATTCCATTTGAGATTCTGGCCAGAACGCATCCCCAGGCAGGTCGGGGGATGGTTTTGACGCTGAGGTCGTATTTTCTGGGCGCCGCGAAAGAACAATCAGTCAGGGCGTTGTTCGTTCCTTGGGACTTGTCGAAGCGGATGATGAGGAGGAGCCTGCTGCAGTCAATATTTCAAGAGCGGTATCTGCAAGAGGATGGATTCGTTTGCGCAGCCATCGCTAGTTGTCAAGGATGCAGGTAAGCCTGCTGGCGGGCTCTCAGTTGAATTAGCTGGTTTGAAGTTCATGACCCATGCACCTGGGCAAGCTGATCTCCATGACATATTCCTAATGTGATAGGCTGAAAGCTGCGTGCGACAACATAAGAATGTTGCATCACACTTTGAAGCATCTGTTGCTGGAGCTAGAGGCCGTCCATAACAACATAGCAGAAGTCGAGGAACTTGAGAAAAGTATGTGGATGACGACACCTTGATTGACAAACACCCTGGTGAAAGATTGGGTCCAAGTGGCATGACGCCTTCGCGGCGCCTGTTGGCGCACCGAGTCACCCGTTGAACCCTTGGGTCCATCTGGCATGCCAATTTCTCCGCCTCCGATGCCGTCACGGGCGTGGGGCAAGGGGTGTAACACATGTCAGGGCAAGGAACAGCATGGGTGGGAACATCGTGCACACTTGGCCGCCGAAGACCCACCAGCATTTTTTGCATGGCCCGGTTTCTGCCACAGATTCCACACCAGGCGTATCAGCCATTTCCGCCCCCTGCGCAGCCACCGCCAGCGGAGGGCACATCGGCTTCCAGTCGGATCAGCTCATGAATCCCAGGGCTTGACCTAAACGCTGTTTTGCTGGATTTCGGCTGTGTTTTGTTTTTCGTTTTGACAGGAAGGTACAGGACAACAGGTAGGGCAAAACGAACAACACAACAAAAACACAACAAACAACAACGTTTAGGTCTAGCCCTGATGAATCCTATGCAACCCTTATCGCCAAGTTAGCCACACATGACGCTGTTATCGCCCACAACCAATATTGTTAGACGTGGCGGCAGCAACATGGGATTTTCCACGGTGGCTGAGGATGCCTGAAGACACTACTGTTGCGCGACGTCGTTTTAGCTCCTGTATGAAGTGCGGGTCCGCGGCGCCCTTGTCATAATGGAGCATCCTCCGTTCAACCCGATGATGCAATTAGATCTACTCTTTGATTCGCTTCCCCAGATTTCTCTGATGTGTGCTTTCCAGGGGCTTGGGCCCACCATATCAATCATTGTAGGGCTGGTGCTGCCACGCTTCAGCCGCCGCTACCCCTAATTACTGGCGGTGCATCTTGACTCTATGGCCGGGATGTAGCTGCTAGTCAAGGTGGCGGGCGTTGCCAGCATTCTCGATCGCGCAGGGGTTGTGGAGTGCTGGGGTTGACGCGCTTTGACGCACATGGCCCATACTAAGGCCCACCTTGTCCCAGCTATGCGCGTATCTGGCAGCAGGAGACTCGGGCAATGATCCCAAGGTTGCGACGAGAGGCGCCCTTGATTCCCACCCCGCCTGGCACATTTGACAAGTATGATTCTGCAAAGCAGTCTACCCTCCGCGCCTTGGTCATGTTGGGTTTTGTGACGATGTCTGGGAGGTACCACCTGGCCTCAGAATATTTGCAGCACCATGGGCCCTAACCTGATCGACGGGATTGCCATAGGTTGTCCCACCATTCCTTTAGGGCGTAGTAGGTGGTTTGGGGCGTTCCCTCTTCCAACCCCCTCTCTCCCCTTAGAGGAGGGGCTTACCTCCCCCTACCCCCTGTCCCTTTGTCTGGAAGGGGAGGGCGGTGGAGCATCTAAGATGTCTTCAGCGAGGAGGCAAGGATCTGTGATTTTCCGTAGGTGCTGGGCCCATTTTGGCCTCTTGGGGGGGGGGTCAAGGACCCACCCCTCGGTGATCGATCTCTCCTAAGAGAGCCCCCAGAGTGCCCCAGAAGGCTTTCAAAAGGCCCCACCCCACGAGGCCCCCAAGCGGCCCTCAAGAGGAGGCCCCTAAGCGGCCGCCATGAGGCACCCAAGGCATGTCAAGAAACAGCACAGAGGCCCCCAAGACGTCCCCGGAGACCTCCAAGAGGCCCTCCAGGCGCCCTAAGAGGCTCCGAAGCCCCCCAGGAAGCTCCCGGGAGACCCCAAGAGGCCTCCAAGAGACCCCGAGAGTCATCCCAGACGCCTCTGGCCTATGGAGGCTCCCCGAGCTCTCCAACTGATGCCGCGCCCCCTCGATAAAGGGCGCCGCTCCTCTGGGTATCGTCTTTGGATGGGCTGGTCGGGATGCGCGACTCGCTCACACCTCATAATGATACACGCAGTCGGGGATTTTTCTCGACTGAAGCAAAAACAAACCTATCCACCTTGTGGTCTATTCCTTTCGCTATTTGTTCCCGAAGCTGCGCTTTTCATCAGGGAGATCCCACGTGTGTGCCAAGGTTTCGCCTGTTGCCCGCTTGGTGGGAGCCCGTTGCCGCCTCGTGGGCTCCTCGTGTGTTGTGCGCGTGTGGCCTCGAGCTCTGGGTCATGACGCGCGTTATGCTCCCCCCGCTCCCCCCTCCCCTCACGCTCCCCCACTCCCGTTATGCGCCTCCCCCATACCGTAACGCTTCCCCCCGTCCCCCCTGTTATGCGCCTCCAGCACTGCCATTGTGGTGCTCGCAGGCTGCTGGTGCTTGCATGCTACTCCAACGTTCGTCGTCGTGTCCGAGGGCCTCGGAGGGCCTGCTGACGCTTCCAAGGGCCTCCAGAGATCTCCTGAGACCTGGGGCGGACCTCTGTCGACCTTCAGAGGAGGCTGTCGTCGTCGTCGTCGTCTTCGTCGTCGTCTTCGTCCCCGTCCCCGTTTTCGTCCCCGTCCCCGTCGTCGTCGTTGTCGTCGTCGTCGTCCTCGTTCCCGCCGTCGTCGTCGTCGTCGTCGTCGTCGTCGTTGTTGCCGTCGTCATCGTCGTTATCGTCGTCGCTGTCATCGCTTTAGTCGTCGTCATCGTCGTCCACGTCCTCGTCGTCATCGTCGTCCTCGTCCCTGTCATCGTCGTCGTCGTCCTTATTCTCGTGGGCGATTCACGGGCGCCTCGTGCGCTTGGTGGCCGCATCCATTGCACTACATAGTTTCAACCACATAGCTTGCACCACATAGCTTACCCAACATATCTCACCCCTCACTTATCTTATACAACACAGCTTGCACGGTGCAAGCTGTTGCAATCCCTGTGGTGCAAGTTGCACCACAGGGATTGCACCGCACAGCTTGAACCACACAACTTGCACCTTACAGCTTGCATCGCATAACTTCACCGTGTAGCTGGCACCGCACAGCTTGCTCCACATATACTGGACCATTTGGCTCACTTCGCGTAGCTTGAGCCAGATAGCTTGCACATCCACAGTGCAGTTACTTTCTGATTGGGGGTCCGCGCTGGGAAACATGCTTCACTATGTTGTGTACATGTGACTGGGCTTCTGAACCCTGAACCTATGTCCGGTGTCTCAGTTGCCAGCGAACTACATTGTGGGGAAGGCTTGCCAAGCCCAACGGCTTCTCTAGTCATGGCACCTCGCTCCTTGGCAGTACCTGTTGTGTGTTTCTGTGTGCAGAAGCCCGCAGGCCTCTGCTGCGCCTCAAGCAGTATTCCGTTGGTTGCTCGTGGGGGAGTGCGTTTTTGTAAGTTCCACTCTGAACTTTGGTGGTCATCCGATTTCAGCGAAGGGACCCATGATGTTTCGATTCCTCCGAAATGCCAGAATGTGTCCGCGCATGTTGGCGCTGAATGTTGTGGTTGTCTCATCGTGGACCTGCTGCCGCTTCTGGTCTGTTCTTCACCTTGTGGTCTTCTCGCCTCCTCTACTCATTGCGGTTTCGGCTCGCCTGCCGCTCGAACTACCGACCGAGGAGGACGCGGGAGCTGGGACTTTGCCGTCCTCCCCGGCAGGAGCTGGAGCGCCGGGGCGCGAGGGTGGCCTGCGTGTACACCGGGGGGCTGGACTTCTCGAAGCCGCTGCAGGCCGTCGCGGGCCCCCCCCGCCTTCGCAGTGGCAGCGGTCGCTGTCGTCGTCATCGGTGGAAGGAGGCGGCGGAGGAGAAGGGAAAGGATATGGACGAGGGCAAGGGGCATCGGAGGCCAGGCGGGTGCCTGCTGTGGGCAAGACAGTGGGGCCTGTGCGAAAGGTTCGTCTGCGCGCCCCTTGCACTGAGCAGGGGCCTGCCTGGGGCGCCCCCCAGGGGACAGGAGGAGGAGGAGGAGGAGGAGGAGGAAGATTAACGGGAGGAGATGCAGGAGGAGGAGATGGGGAAGGAAACCGATAGACTGGAGGACGGTGCCAATGACGATGGCGATGAACAAGAGGATGCAGAGTGCCAGGAGGATTATCATACATTGCAGGGGGAGGGAAGGAAGGAGAAGGAGAAGGACGTCAAATAACTTCAGTTAAGTTTTAGATCTCACCCAATCGTGTATTATTATTATTCTTTCGGCGTCCTTTCTTTTCACGGGCAGGGAAAGCACATCCTCGGAAACTCCTTCCTCAGAAACCTCATCCTCAGAGGGCTTAGCTGTACTCAGTTCTCTCGCAGCCGCTGATGCTGAAGGCTCAAGTGGCGCTGTCTCACAGCAGTTGCTGCCCTCAAGGTGCCCCACGCAGGCTCGCATGCGGGGTGAAATGTTGGATGCCATCCTCGCTGGCCCGACGCAGGCTCTCATGAGGGCAGGCAAGGCGGGTTACTCCATTCTGAAAATAACTAGCGGGCTCAGACCTCACGAGGGCCTAAAGAGAATCACACCTCGTAACCTCCTTCCTCGGAAACTCCATCCTCAGAAACCTCATCCTCATAAGGCTTGGCGGCCGTTGCTGCCCTCAAGTTGCCTCTCGCAGGCCCGCATGAGGGCTGGAATGTACGGATGGTATCCAGCGCAGGTTCTCATGAGGGGAGTACATTTTGGCTCATCCTTCATTAGAACACCTCACCATGATCTGATTATCACGAGGGTCGCGTGTGTTGAGAGCTCCAGATTCGCTCACTTGTCGGTCATCTACGTCTCGGCGGCGTCATCCTGGCCGTCATACAGGCGACTCATTGGGCGCTCGCTTTGCAGTTCCCAGTGCTTGGCCTTCACCCGCATCGCCAGCATGTTGCCCATGGGCTCAATCGCCGTGCAGATTTCGCTGGCCAGCCATGGCGCCTCATGGTGAGCAAACTGGAGACCTCATCGGTGTGCAATTTCATCGCCAGGTGATTTGAAATTTCCTTACGGTACTTGTCAAACGCAGCGATCATCTGCCATTCTTTGGGAAGGTCTCATCGTCACTGATCATGTCGCCATCATCGCAGAGCGGATTTCGTTTGAAAAACAACAGGATGGGCCCGGAGTTTCCTGCAGAATGTCGCTCGGGATTTCGAAATGAATTTCGTGCGGATGCTTGGGCCAGGCATGAAGACTAAAAACATCCACGTAAAATGCACTTCGTTTTTCGCTCGCCGTTTCGGGGTTTTGTATTGTCAGAAATCCACGCCAACACTCCGCCGCAGCACGTGTGTAAGGTCGATGCAGTGACACTGGCGGTCAACAGCACGCGCCTCGCGGCCTCGACAAAAGGCCTGGCACGACATGTGCGCGCGGCTCAACGCCCACGACGCGGACTCGGGTGGGCCCGCGTCGTCGCCCATCCCAAGCTTGTGCGCCGCCTCGAACGTGGACCCGTAGTTGCTGCGCATCGCCTTCACGCAGTGGAGCAAGTACTCTTTAGTCGGGCCTGTCCCTCTACAGGAGGAAAATTGAAAAGTGGTAAAAATAGCCAGGAGACGGTTTCTTTTGTATTTTTCGACACTTGTTGAATCTTGTTGAAGCGTTTTTAATTTTTCATCGAACATCGGCCTGTGGGGGGACATGCCCCGAGGTAAAGGTAATTCCCCATCGCCCCCAAGGGCCGCGATGCGTCACCGTTCACGTCAAACTCCACCATCGTATTGCACAGCATCCGCACCACCTCGGGCACCACCTCGGGCCCTGGTTTGGTCATCTTTCTTAGAGAATTCTATCCAAGTTCACGCTAGAACCCTGGGCTTGGAGTATATACGATTTTCGGATGAACGTGGAGTTTTACTGGAAGTCTCAAGTATGGACGACTTCAGAGTATTGCAGATTGTGGAAGGTTTGGCGGACGCTCAGCACAGATTCTGGACGCACTCCAAGAGAGCTCAACATGTCCTTCGGGTCATAGCGAGGATCAGGTGCCTTCAAATCGTGGAGCCCCGCAGGAAAGATTCGGAGGAGGTCGAGTCAGTGGATGTCGACGCCTGCAGCAACAAAGTGTTCACAAAGTGGTTTCATTCGTTGAGTATTGCCGAGAAGTTCAGCCTCTCAGTATATCGCTCAGGGGCGGCTTCGTCGGAGACGCGTCGACAGACAGGGCTGCCATGCCCACATTGCGGCCATTTGTGGCCATCTATACGTCATCAGGTCGTGGAGTGCCCGCAGTGGAGCGGGCTCAGAGCTGATCTTTCATCAAAGTACGATTTACCGCCCATGTTCTGGACCAGCCTTCCAAGGGTTTCGGCCAAAAGTGGGTGGATCACGTACGCGGCAGACCCCGCGTCAAATATCAGAAGAGCTACCATGCTGAGGGCCATCTGCGAGATGGGCATCGGCATCATAGGCAGCGGACTTGAAGGGCGACTTCATGACCCAGCGCCGCCCCCTGTGCGGCGGCGGGTACGTGTTGCTGCGTAACTACCACGAGTGGATCTACCCCATTGTCAGGGTATTCCACCTCATCTTCTATACTATTCTCAACGTCATGACTGGTTTCTTGAGAAAGCTCACTTTCTCAGCCGTTACTTTCGCGGCTGGCGTGTCGAATCACCCCGCTGACCGCGGCGCTCAGCGCGGCGCCCACGTTCTCGACCGGGGCTTCTTGAACAGCCGCCATGGCCTCAGGAAAGGGCTGTGGTAGGGCCTCAGGCAGGGCCGCGCGCGTGAGAACTTCAATTTTTGGGCCTCGCGTGGCTCTGGGTTGACATCGTCGCCGTCGTCGCCGTCGCCTCGGGCCCGCGACGCGCGCGCAGCCGCGCGGAGTGGGCCCAGAACAGAATGGCGCGGTGTCCGACGACAATTGTTGTTCAAAAGCGACATCGGCCGCTGCCGGGCGGACTGTGCTCTGCTTCAAATGGGCAGTGCCCGCGGCGACGCCGACAGCGAACCCCGCTCGAACAAACGGGAACTGCCGTCGGGCTTTGCACCCATTCTTTCCGTGCTCACGCCAGTCGCGCCGACGATCCACGGCCCTGGCGCGACCCCCCCCCGCCCCCCCCCAGCATGTGCAGCCCAGGCGCGGCTGACCCACAGCATCCACGTCCCAGGCGCGGGGCAAAGCGCGCATGCATCCGCGATTTTCAGCGAGAACGAGGGGCAGCATCATCTTTTCACATCCTTGTATTGAACGCAGTTTGACTCGCATTGAAACAGCCGGCGCTTGGGGGGTGGGTGGGCCCTGCAGAGTTGCATTCCGCTTCTCTCGCGTTTGTGCTCGGCGATTTCCCGCGCGCAGGGCAGCCCGCTCGGCATTTTCCCCCGGGAGATGCATCTTGCCGACAATATTTTGCTCGACGAGCATTAGAGGCAAACTGTTCTCTGTTCGCCGCGGGCGCCTCGCAAGCTTGCGCGCAATCGCGCGCGCGAAACTTTTCAAGATCTGGCAAATGGAACGCATTTCCCATAGCCTTCAATTCTAGAGAGTTCATTACCGTTCTTTTGCGATTTTGCTGGGGGACCCCCCCTCGCGCGGACTAGCCCATGCGGCAATATTCTTTGGGGGAGCTACCCTGCCGCTCATATATCGCCCGCCAAACATTCGAGGGGCGCAATTCCATTGGCGCCGCGAGCGCCGTTTGAGCCCGATCCTCGGCAACAGCAGTCGACGTCTTTCGGTCAGAGAGTGTTGGTTCAGACAGATAGCCAAACACCTTGCCGAAGTTTTGGGCAGATATCCACCTTGATGGGATGATGGCATGAGACGGATGTCTGTCAGGAGATCCAGACTCTTGTCACGGATGCACTGCAGTCCCACGATGCCGACGGCGCAAGTAGGCGCATGCGTCGAGTGGGGCCCGCGCTATTTCAACGGATTGGCCAACGACGCGGCGAACCGGGCCTGAACCGTGGAGCCGATTGGGCTTGCGCGCGCGACGACAGTCTGCGCAGAGCGGCAGAGGCGCGCGCCGAGATCAACTTCCACCCGGGCGAGGTGAAGGCGATTCTCCGGCAGGGGCGGCGCTCGTCGCCCACTGTCCCTCGGGCAACAGAGAACTGCGATCCCGGGCAGGAAGGGTGCCAGGCCGTCTGCGGTCTGCCTTCCTAGCCGAAGCCTTGGCAGCATAGTTCAATTTGGATATGCGCTTGCGTGGCCCATGCAGTGGCGGGTGGAAGTGCGCGAACCGCATGCGGCTTGCATTGAGCAGAACAGAGGGCCACGCTCTATCTTAAGGGTTTCGCACCCTGCCGCCGGCCCCCCTAACCCCTAATGCTAGTGCGTGCGGCTTCGTGGACAGCGCCGCGGGTGCTTCTCGTGGCAGGCTTCTCGGCAGCGTCTGCGGGTCATTGTTGGGGCTTTTTGGGCGCCGTTTTGGACCGCTTGGAGCATCTGCTGGGTCTCTTGGGGGTCTCCTAGAGGCCTCTTGGGGCCTCTTGGGGGCCTCTGGGGGGCCTCTTGAGGCCTCTTGAGCCTTTCTGGGGCCTCCTGGGGCCCTCTCGGGGCGGAAAGGTAGAGTTTTCTGTTCGTCGACTCCCTCTTGGGCCTCTCTTGGAACCGTCTCAGGGCCCTTCGGGGCCGTCTGGGGCGCCTCTTGGACCGTCTTGCGGCTCTTCGGCCGTCTTGGGGCCGTCTTGGGGGCCTCTTGGGCCGTCGTGGGAATTTCTTGGGCCGCCGCGGGGCGATCTTGGGAACTTCATGGTCCGTCTTGGAGCGTCGGAAAGCTGAAAAGGCGAGAAGGCCGACGCCCTTCTGGAGAAACATTGATTTTTGCTTCGGGGGGCCCTCCTGGGAGGCCTCTTGAAGGCCTTTTGGGCCGTCTTGGCAGCATCTTGGGCCACCTCGGGGCCATCGTGGGACATTCTGGGGCCATCTTGGGCCGTCTGAGGCTCCTGGGGCTCCTCGGAGCCTCTTCGGGTATTCTTGGAGGCCTCTCTCGGGCCATTCTGGCCGCGCGGTGGCGTCGCCGTGAGAATCCCAGGGTGGCCCGGGGCAGCCTGCGTTTGAGGTCCCCACCCTTGGCTGTTTGGTGACGTGGCGGGGCCCCATGTCAGACAGTGAGCGGGAGGTAGGAAACAGGACTGGAAACAAAAGGCCAAACAACAAGTGACAACGCATACTCGGTCCATCCTTGGCCGCTTTCGTTGGCCGCGCTCAGTTCGAAAAGCTTCGAAGTGGGCGTCCAAGGCCCTTGCGTCCTCATCGCGTATCCTTACGATGCTGGTCGATTGTGGAAACGCTGAGCGTTCCCATAGCTGGTCGCAACTGCATGACAAACACACACAGCCAACACATGACAGCAGACCGCGCGCACCTTCGCAGCTCTGCGCCCTTGGATGGGGGCCGGCGGAGCAGGCGCGGGCGCCGCGGCGCGCTGCTGCGGCGGCGGCGCGCCCTGCGAGGATGAGCGGCAAGCAGTCCCCGCTGGAGCGATCGGTTCGCCACGTTGGCATTCAGGAGGGGAAAACACACGCAGACGCAATTGAATTGCCGCTTCCCCAGAAAATATTGGGACATCGGGGAAGTGGGGGGGAGACAAAGAACCCAGAACATGTAGGGGCATATGGTGGATCCTGTTATTTGTGCATATTTATTTGCGTGTCCTTGGGCCCTTTCAACGTTGGCAGGCCGCCCCCCAAGCGCCTCGTGACGGACTATTTCACGGTCGCTCGCAAGGTTGTCGAGGTCGGGGTCAGGGCGGCTCCGCTCGAGGGGGCCGCGGGGTGCGCGACCACGGTGCGCTCTTCTGGGGAGCGTGGCTCTGGCGCGCGCGTGCCCTTGCCGCCCTTGCGATGCTTCCTCTGGCATCCTCGCCACCGGCGGCGGGTGCCGAGTCGACGCTGCGCGGGGCCGCCGCGAACGTGCAGGCGCTTCTACCGCGCCGGGTCACCCGGAGCTGCGCGCGGAACTCGCCCACGCTGCTGTTTTCGAAGGTGACAGTCCTCGAGATGCGCTTCCATGGCGCCGCTCTTGATTGACGTCGTCGACATAAAGGAGGGGCGGAGCGCTGGGACCGCTGAGCGCCCGGGAACCTTCTACGCGATGTTCATGGGCGCGGCGGACGCTGGCGGAAAGCATGGCGCCCTATGCTGGGTGCGACGCGGCTCCGAGCATGCAATCGTGCAGTGGCGTGCCGTCGGCCCTCTCATGAAGTGCGTGGCGCTACGATGGTCGACTGGGCAGTTAGCGATTGCGGTGGTGGGCCACGCCTCCCCAGAGTGCTGCTCCGAGGCGACTGAGGAGACGTTCTGGCCCATCCAGTGGCGCATCGCAGCTGAGAGGCTCCATCGCTATCCATCGGCATTCTGGTTACGCGCGCTCGACGCGTCGGCAACGTCCGCTCGTCAGCCTCGCGGCGGGCGACAGCGAGGTCGGCAATGCGGAGCCCGCGCCCGAGAAGCTTGGTGGTACCTTCAGCGTGGACAGGCGGGCCTTGGCCGATCCAGAGGCGTGCGAATCCTTCTCGCGCCGATCTCTGGCGCTGCGAGCCCCCCTCCGGCGCGACGATGGGCGAGCGCCTCCGCCTCGCAGATGCCAATGCGTATCTTCGGCGTTCGGCGTCGCGCTGCTTCCAGGCGGTCCTGGGCGCACTTCGCCAGCCATGGATGGCCTCAGACACGTGGGCTCGCGTCCGCCAGAACGCGCCCATGCGGCGGCAGATCGCGGCCGCTGCAGGCGAGGCGCGCCAGGCGTTCCAGAGGGCAGTCTTTTGCGTGCGTCGTGGCCTCGTGGCGCGCTCGCCTCCAGCTGGTGGCGTCGCGCGCTCTGCCCTGACATCGCCGCGGCGCTGGATCGGGCAGGCCATCGACTTTGGACGCCGATCCGCGGAGTTCTCATGGTGGGCAGCCCGGTGGCGCGCAGCCATCTTCGCAGTTCAACTGGATGCACGGTCGCTGCTGGCGCGCGATCGCGCCGAGTTCTTGGGCTCGATGGCCTTGAAGGCGGCCGCTGCCATGCAGCGCGACGACCTGAAGCTGGGCCCCGGCGCGGCGCGCAGCCTGGGCGCCGCTAAGACGATCCAGAACACTTCTGCGTATGAGCTCGACGGCTCGCTCGCGACTTCGCCCGTGGGCGAGCTCGTCTCGCGGGATCAGCTGCGCTGCAAGGCCGACCGAGCCCTCGCCGCCTCCCGTGCCCCTCGACACTGGCGTCGTAAAGACGGCGGCCGCTTTCGAAGCGTTGGGCAGGAAAAAGGGCGTCGGGCCGGACGGCGTTCCGGCGGAACTGCTGCAGGCTGGCGTCGCACCGTGCGCGGTCACGCATGCAGACATCAATTGGGGCGTGGTGGCTACGCTGCAGTGGCCAGTGGAGTGGTGCGGTGGCGACCCCGCGCGCGCGCGGGGGCGGAGGGCGACCCATCTGTGCGCGACGACAGCCGCGGCCTGCTTTTGGCCGACCGCGCTGCGAAGGGCCTCGCGTCGATAGCGAAAGAAGACATGGGCGACCTCTACATCCGCCACGTGCCGTTGCACCAGTGCGGCGCGGTCGCTGGGGGAGCCGCCGACTTCGCGACCCATATCGTCCGCGGTCTTCTCGCCATCGCGGAGGGTTTGGGCTGCGGCGTCTTCGCGCTCACCGTGGATCTTGTCAAGGCATTCGACAAGATCGTCCGGGAGCTCGTCGTGGGATGGGGCTCGCGCCCCATTGGCGAGCGAGCGCCTTGTCTCGTCGCTCTGGGCTTCGGCCCCTCTGCCGCAGAGTGGGTCGTAGACTTCGTCGAGATGAACGGCTGCGTCCTCTAGCTGTGGGGCGTCAGCCCGACTTGCCCTGGGCGCGCTGCGGGCGCTCCGCGAGCGCGCGCGGTTCCAGGTGCGCGGCAGCGCGCAGGCCATCCGCTCGAAGACCAGTGGGCGACAGGGATGCAAGGTGGGCTCGCGCGTTTTCAACGCTGGCTATGGCGTTGCTCTGGTGGGCTGGCTTTCCGCGTCGCGGAGCCTGGCGATCCTTTCTGGCGAACGCCGTGTGGTGAGGGCGCTGACGGGCGACCAGTCATTGCTGCCACCTTCGCGGATGACCTCGGCCTTGTCCCCATTGCGCGATTGCCGGTGCACCTGGGCACTGCGATTGCTCATCTGATGACAATCCCCACCGCGATGCCGCGTTCGCCCGCGAGGCGAGGCGTCGCGAGGGCGGAGAGCTTGGGTCCCTGAAATTAGACATTTTCTGATGGTGGTGGACGCGCGCTGCCGCCTCGGCGCGACGCCCTCCGCGACGGGCGAGTCTTTCGCCGACGCGCGCTGGCGCGCGCAGATGACCGTGACCGCGTGCGCCCCGATCGGGTTCAAGGTTTTCGGCAGCAGCCTGATCCCGGATCGGCGCAAGCTGAGCTTCCTGAAGTCCCTGGTGCTGTCTCGAGTACTATTTGGCATCCACGGTGCTTGCCTGCCAGTGGCGAACCTACGCCGTCGCAGTGCAGTCTACGCGCGCGGTCTCTGGCGCATCGCAGGCGACTGTCGCTTCCGACCTGCCGTGCAATGGTCTGGCCGCGAAGTCCGCGAGCGACCTGAACGTGCCCTCCATCGACTGCCTGCTCATGGTCATGGTATCTGCAGCGGCTGGTGCTTCTGCGCCCCCCTGATCTGGTGGCGGTGCTTCGCTGCCGTCCGAAGGGGCAACCGCTGCCCTGGGTGCGACTCCTGGCTGCGGATTGCGAGTTCCCGCGACGCGAGGGGCTGGTTCCTCCGGCGGTGCCGAGCGTCCTCGGCGCGCCGTGCCAGCGGGCCGCGCTTGTGGCCGACCGCAAGACGTGGGCTGCTGCTCTTGGCAGCTTTCCCTTCTTCGAGTCCTGTCTAGACCGGGGGGGGGGCGATTTCTCTGAAGACGCATCTCGCAGTGAATTGCCAGATGTGTAGCGCTCGTATCGCCTCGGCGCGCGCCCGCGTGCGCCGCGAGCGCAGCGCGCGCAGGGTAGCCGCGAGGGCCACGAAGCACCTCCACGGCTCGGTTTGCCCGCGCTGCCAGGTGGGCTTCCCGCCGGAGATCCGGCTGCTGGCACGCTGCTCGGACCCCCTGCGCCCGCGCTGCTGGGCCCGGGCGCCGGCGCGCGTTGCCCCCTTGACGGCTGGCCGGCAGACGAAGGTGGATGCGAGCTCCGAGTCGACAGGCGCGCCGGACAGCGCGCCGGACGGACCCGCGCTCCATGCCACTTGCCTGCGAAGAGGGCCGATGGACGCACCTTCGGGCGCCTCGAATGATAGTGGCCACGTGCGCTACCGCTGCTCGCATATGCAGCCACCAGCGTTGCCCTTCACTTGGTCTGCGCCGTCGGCGCAGCCTGACGCCCGTCATTCTTTATGGCATGTATTGCTTTCCCATCGCTCTTGAGACCGACGTCCCTCGCATCATATAATCCTTTTCGAATATTCATATAGCAGAACCCCCCCCTGACCCCCCCCCTGCGTAAATTCGGCCCTGGGCGCTCCCGCCGACGTCAAATTCTAATTTCGGTTTCGGGGGCCTCTCCCGGCCATCCCCGGACGGTCCCGCAAAGCCCCAAGGAGGCCCAAGGCCGCTCCAGAACGGCTCATGAGCGTTCAAAAAGGCCTCGAGGTGGCTTCAGGACGGCCCGGGATGTTTTCAAGACGGCCCAAGAGGCCCCCCAAAAGACTCCCAATACGTCAAAATCGTCCCATTCCCGTCGGGATGCGTACATTTTTAGCATCTCCGCTTCTTTGGCCCTCGCCGCGTCCACGACGGCCCAAGAGGCCCCCCAAAACGCCCCAGGACGGCCCAAAACGTCCCCAAGGGAGCTCTAAGACAGCCTTACGGGCTCCAAAACGACCCAAGACGGCCCCAAAGAGCACCGGATGGCTTCCCAAAGAGCCCCAAAAGGCCGCAGGAGGCCCCCAAGAAGAACCAAGAGGGCCCCAAGACGGCCCGAACCTTCCAGGACGGCCCACGAGGGTCCAGTGACGGCCCAGGAGGGCCACCAGACAACCCAAAGAGCTTCGAAAGGAGCCCCACGAGAGCCCCGAGAGGCCATGCCCCTCTCAGCCATCTGAGGCCTCTTGCCCCCGCAAGCCCTACGACCACTATGGTGCCTCATGGTGCCCTGTGAGGCCTGGGAACCCTAACGCCTCCAGGGCTCTCACCCCCGCGCGCCGCGAGACCCCGATGGGGCCCCCCAACTCATAATCCAGATACGGGTGTGCCGCCGTGGATGGTGCGGCGGCATGCGCACGTTGGCTCTTCACTGTCGGTGGAGCGGTGATGCGGCATGCGCGCGTTGGCTCTTCACCGTCGGTGGAGCTCCCTGTGGGGTACGGTCCATGTGAGGGGACATTCGGCACACATGTGGTGACGTAGCGTTCCGCGGATCCCCCCAGGAAAACGGACCACAAGGGCCCCATGAGGGCCGCGAGACGGCCCCAGGTGCCCATTGCGAATCCTCCACTGAGAGCCGCAGGTGAAGCCTGCTCTCCTGGGGGAGAGGCGCACAAGGAGAGGAGAAGGAGCCAGGAGGTCGAAGGAGGGAGGAGGAGGGAAACAGGAAGAGGCTGGACGAGAATGAGGAACATCCACCATCCAAACCCGACGATATGAGCCCTACGAACCCTATGAGCCATGATCCCATATGAGCCCTGTGAGCCCTAGCCATATGAACCCTATGAGCCTTATGAGCCCTATGAGTCCTATGAACCCTATGAGCCCCATGAGCCCCATGAGCCCTATGAGCCCAATGAGCCCTATTAGCCCTACGAGCCTCATGAGCCCCATGAGCCCTATGAGCCTTTAAGCCCTATGAGCCCCATGAGCCCTATGAACCCTATGGACCCCATGCGCCCGGTGAGTCCTATGAGCCCAATGAGCCTTATGAGACTAATGAGCCCCATGGGCTTTATGGGGCCTGTGAACCTTATGAGCCCAATGAGCCTTTAAGTCCCACGATCCCATGAGCCCCATGAGCCCTATGGGCCCCATGAATTTTGTGAGCCCCATGGGCCCCGTGAGCCATATGACCCCCACGAACCCTATGACTCCAATGAGCCCTAGGAACCCAATGGGCCTTAAGAGCCCTACGAACCCATGAGCTCTCCGAGCTCCATGAGCCCCATGAGCCGGATGAACCCTTTGAGGCCTATGAGCATTAGAAGCCCCGTGACCTTCATGAGCTCACGAGCCCCAGGAGCCCCATGAACTCAATGAGCCGAGCACCATACCCCCACCCCGACCTTCCATGACACCATATGAGCGCGATGACCCCTTATGAGGCCTATGCGCCCTATGAGCCCTAGAACCCCCTCAGCACTAGGAGCCGTGAGGCCTTGCGAGACCCATGAGACCCCCCTCTGAGCCCTACGAGCCCACTGAGCCGTATACGGCCTATGGGCCCTATGAGCCACATGGCCCCGACTTGCCCCTTCGCCCCAATCGGCCCCATGAGCCCTACGAAGCCTGCGCGCTCTGTTAGCGCTATGGGCCCTATGGCCCCCTGGGGCATTGCGAGCTCTATGAGCCCAGTGGCCCCCAAGAGCTGATGACTCCAAGGAGCCCCGGGGCCCTTATAAGCACCATGAGACTCCTGTGACAACCGTGACCCCTGTAAAGGTCACTCAGCATTATGAGCCCCGTGCCCGATGTGCACAAACAGTCCCATGACCCCAACGAGCCCCATGAGCCCTGTGAGCCCTGTGAGTCTCATGACCCCCTGGAGCCGCATCGGCAGCATTACCACTCGCCTAAAATGGCGGCTCCGAGCCCTTGGACCCCATGACGGCAGAGACCCCTTCTGAGCTCTTTGAGCCGCAATATTCCCTGGGTCCTATCAGCCCTGTTTGGTCCATTGTCTCCATGGCCAGAACACGCCGCGGCTGTGACGACAACCGATCTCATCGCGCCTCCCTGGCGCCACGCGGCCAAGATTGTAAAGGCGAAGCGCAGCGAGCCCGTCAACTCTTGTATGCATGTATGCATGCATGCGTGCATGCATGCATGTATGTATGCATGTATGTATGTACGTCATATAATGTAATGTACTGTGCTGTACTGTACTGTAATGTAACATACTGTAATGTAATGTATTGTAATGTAATGTAATGTAATTTAATGGAATGTATTGCAATTCAATGTAATTCACTGTAATGTACTGTATCGTAATGTATTGTCATGTAATGTAATGGTTTGTAATGTAATGTAATGTAAGGTAAGGTAAGGCAATGAAATGTAATGTAATGCAATGTAATGTAATGTATGTATACATGCATGTATGTATGTGTGTGTGTATGTATGAATGTATGTATGTATGTATGCATGCATGCATGTATGTATGTATGCATGTAGGTACGTGTATATGCATGTATGCATGCATGCATGTATGCATGTATGCATGCATGCATGCATGTATGTATGTATGTATGTAGGTATGTATGTATGTATGTATGTATGTGTGTGTATGTGTGTCTGTGTGTCTGTATGTCTGTATGTCTGTATGCATGCATGCATGCATGCATGTATGTATGCATGTGTGTGTATGTATGTATGTATGTATGTATGTATGTATGTATGTATGTATGAATGCATGTATGTATGGATGTACATATGTCTATATATATGTATAGATATGTGTGTGTGTGTGTGTATGATGGAGCGTGTTCTACCGCTGCTGGCGGAAAACCTAGGGGGGGTCACTGGGGGTTCCCAGCCCGCCCCCCCCCTCCCCTTCGAAAACCGGTTCAAACCTCCCCCCCCCGTCCCCAGTCCATCATGAAAAGGGGGGGGGTCTATGCCGGTTCGAACCCGCCCCCCCCCCCCCTCTCGAAAACCGAGGGGGGTCACTACCGGTTCGAACCCCTCCCCCCCTCCCCTCGCCGCCTGGGAACGATTCCCGCTCCTCGGGACAGTTGGACAAGTGGTGGGAACGGTGGTCTGGGACAGTGGCGCGGGGACACTGGGACAGTGGTGCGGACAGTGGTGGGGACGGTGGTGGTGGGGACAGTGGTGAGGGGACAGCGGGACAGTGGTGGGGATTGTGGGACAGTGGTGGGGACGGTAGTGGTGGGGACAGTGGTGAAGGCGGTGGTGAGGACAGTGGTGGGACAGTTGTACAGTGGGGAAAGTGGTGGGAACTGGGGACAGTGGAGCAGTGATGGGGACAGTGGAGACGGTGGGACAGCACAGTGGCACAGCGGCGGGGACAGTGGGACAGTGGTGGGTACAGTGGGGGTGGGACAGTGGTGGGGACCGTGGGGAAAGTAGGGACAGTGGGACCGTGGTGGGACCGTGGTGGGACAATGGTGGGGAGAGTGGGGATAGTGAGACACTGGTGGGGGCACTGGTGGGGACAGCGGGGACAATTGTGGGAACAGTGGGGACGGTGGGACAGTGGTGGGGACGGTGGTGGTGGGGACAGTGGTGTGGGGACAGTGGGAGCAGTGGGGGATGTTGTGCGGACGGTGGTAGGGACCCGGGAGTCGTTTGCTGGCGGTGATCGTGGGGGGGGGGAGATGGGTTCGAACCGGTAGTGACCCCCCCGGTTTTCTGGACGGGGGGGGGGTTCGGGTTAACCAGTATAGTGACCCCCCCCCGCTGTTTTCTGGGGGGGGAAGGGGTTCGAACCGGTAGTGGCCCCCCCGCCCGGTTTTCCGGAGGGGGGGGGGAGGGTTTCGAACCGGTACTGACCCCCCCCCGGTTTTCTGGGCGGGTGGGGGGTTCGAACCGGTAGTGACCCCCCGGTTTTCCGGAGGGGGGGGGGGAGGGGTTCGAACCGGTAGTGACCCCCCCCTGTTTTTCCGGAGAGGGGGGGGGGTTCGAACCAGTAGTGACCCTGCCCGGTTTTCCGGAGGGATCGAACGGGTAGTGACCCCCCGCTAGTTTTCTGCATTGGGGGGGAGGGATTCGAACTGGTAGTGACTTCCCCCGGTTTTTTGGAGGGGGGGGGGTCGAAGCGGTAGTGACCTTCCCCCGGTTTTCTGAAGGGGGGGGGGGTTAGGGGAGGGGGGGGTTTTGCCGGGGGGAACAGGGAGGAGGGTCCACCAGGTGGGGGAGATTTTCGGAGGGGGGGGGGAGACCCCAGGGTTCCGGAGGAAGAGGGGGGAGCAATTTTCCATAGTAAAGCGGCGGTGGATCACGCTCTCTCTCTCTCTCTTTTTCTTTCTCTCTCTCTCTCTCTTATATATATATATACCCGGCTACAAGGCCGGGGGCTCCCTGCTTGGATGGATGACGGTGTTTATACGCACTTACAGAACATATGAGTACATAGCTTCTGCTTACGCAGGTTACTACAACAAGATATACTTAGGTTAGTACTTGAGATACAGACGTACTTATAACCAGGTGTTAGTAGGTTGGCTAACTAGCTTAATCTAGTTACGATAAGTCCGCTATCCTGGATACGCTAACTCCGCTATCCTGTATACGACCAATAACAAAACTTTAAACATCTACTAAATTTTAAATGACAAGGCCATGTAGTTTCGAAAACAAGCCGCATACAAACAAACATAAACAACACAAAACACATAAACGCACACGTTTGAAGCATCGGCGTGCACATTGATTGTTTCGAGGGGCCCTTTGGGGGCCTGGGGGAGAGCGGCTCTATGGGCTCCATGGGGCCCTTTGAGGGTTCCTCCAGGGGCCCCCTAGGGAGGGCATTCGAGGGGCTTCTCAAAGCCAACTAAAACAAGGCCGCCAGACAGCACGGCCAGCAACACTATGTTTCATATTTTTGTGCATAGGACGTGCCGAAGTTTCGGCGGCAACAGGACCTGACATATGCTGCCGACCTCTGCGGGCCAGAACACGGTCGGCTCCAGCAGACTGGAAGTAGGCACTACAATCGGAGCATCTTGCACGATACATTTTGCAACGTGAAACTGGACCGACTGAAGATCCCATTCGCTCACGCAGCTGACCACGACTCCATCGATGCTGCAGTGGCACCATACTTCACCAAATCGAATGAGCCCATCATCATTCTGGAATGCGACCACATCAGCAGCCCTGATGAGTTTAAAGTTGACAAATGCTTTTGAACTTGCCAAGATGGTTGCTGCAGGGCTGATACCAAATTCCGAAGTCAAGGCGCAGCGCATTTTTTTTGATGCCGCATGCGGCTCCACGAGGTCTGACTTAAATATAGGATGCTGCAGGTGATACACTGCATCAAGAGCAACTGCCTCTACCAAACCCTTCTCGTAACTACGGTCATTATGGCGAGACTCCGCGAGACGTTTCACTGTTTTGTGCTTCCTTTCCATGAGGAAGCACGACACCAACTGCCTAAAACGAGCGAATTGTGGGCCTATGTGGGTTGCCCAGTGGTTCTTGGGTTTCCACAAGGACTCTCCATACGCAACTTGATGAGCATACAAATGGGTTAAAATCGAATCGTCCAAAGAGTTCGCACTCACAGTGCCAGAATTTGCAACGCTGAGTAGCTCAAGCACCTTGCACAACAAAATTGCACTCTCAACTTGCGGCCTGCACTGGCCAGACGGATACGCGATATCGACGAGAAACTTGTGCAGCACAGGTGCAAGGGCCAACATCTCGGATGCCGACCCTCCTGGCGTAAATGATTTGTTGCCTTTGCATATGTTTCGGGCGTTGCTGTAACAACCAGGCCACCTGAAATTCTGGAGGTATGCATCCAACTGCTTAGCACCTAATCTATTATTGGTTGCTTCGGCGAGCGACTGCATCAAGCAGACCACCTCATTATTGAATATTCCATCAACGGCGTATATGTGCATCCAGTCCCAGCCCCAGACAGAGGCTAGCCTCACCCGTAAATCCGAATCTTGCATCACGCCAGTTTCGCAATATATGAAACCATAGTACACCTCGACTTCCTTCAGCTTGACGGGGTCGGTTGTTGCCAGATGCCCCAGCCTGGACTGCATAGACCAGATGTCTTCGTCAGTCAATGCCTTAAACTCTGAACGATCTAAAGTCGATGACGGGAGGCAGAAGTTTGTGCGCTCACCGACATACGCCGAGTTAATGCCCACACTGTTGCAACACAGTGGGCATATTTTCACACCGTTGCAGCCTTTTGTCGTCAGCATGAACTTGTGCGCTCTCTCGTCTTGCACAATTAAATGCAACTTGGCAAATAGCAGCCGTGGGCTGTCCTCCCCTGGAATCTGAAATGAGACTCCATGTCGGAGGTCATAAGATGACGGTTGCCCAAAAAACAATTTCAACAGCGCACGAGTAAATTGAGACATGCCTCCACTCAGTTTGTTCACATGCGAGGACCTGCAGCACGTCAGAGTCATCCATACTTCCTCGGCGGACAGGGCTGGATACCCCATGTTGTGGATTGCCCAGTAGAGCGTCTGTACTTTACGAAAATTATGAAGCCCCAAGCTGTTCCCAGGTGTTACTTCATCTGAATACAGTATCAATTCCATTACATTGCTGCTGGCGTCCATTGTTTGAATGAACACCTGGCGAAACTCCGACGATACTGTCAGCGCTACTTCCAGCATTGCCAATGGGTGGATCACCCAGCAACCGAAACCAGGAGTGAAGAAGTCATCGGGAAGTCTCTGCACGAGCGGTCCAAATTGAGTCCCCTGGTATGCAACATCTTGTCTGGCCTTCCGCACGGCCCAAGTCGAAGTCGCACTTGGACACTCAGCCTCTGAATCCCTCAGCTCTTTCAACACAGAAGCTAAACCTGCATCGGTGACGTGAGACTTTCTGCCGAGGTCTGACAGCTTCAATCTCTTTGGATGTCCTGACATGACCTGAGCCAACACGGCTATGCACGTGCATATACACGTATGTTGCATGGTTGTATACGCATGCGTATATGTGTTTATGGGGGCATGTGGGCTACAACAGTACCATGGGCAGCTGCCTTGCAGCAAGAAGCCGAACTACTACAATACACATGCATGCATACATACATACATACATACATGCATGCAGACAGCTTGGGCCGTCTGGCAGGACCGCTCTTGGGCAGTCATAGGTAATAGGGCTACCTTGGGACATATTGGGCATAACCTGAGCAACTGCCACGACTGTGTTGAAGGCATCTTGGGCCATCTTGGGAGCCCATTGGCCGTGAGGCCGATTTTGGAACGCCGTTCCATGTTAGTGTTGGGGCATACTTTGGAACGCCGTTTCAATTTGCATCTGGGGCAGCTGTCACGACTGTCTTGAACGCCTCTTGGACCATCTTGGGAGCCAGCGAGCCCGCGAGGCCGATTTTGGAACGCCGTTCCAATTTAGTTTTGGGGCAGATGCTGGAACGTAGTTCCAATTTACTTCCAGGGCAACTGTCACGACTGTCTGGGAGGCATCTTGGGCCATCGTGGGAGCCGCTTGGCAGTGGGCCGCATTGGGGGGTCCTCTTGGGCAGGGGTCCCGTCTTAATGGCATTGCTTGCAGCTGCCGTAGCCTTTTCGTTCGTAAGCCCAGTGGCTTCGCCAACGTGCGGTGGTCAGATGCGCACACCGCCGACCCCGAACTCAAACTCACAGAAGGCAATTTACTAGTGTGCACGTCATGCGCATTCCAGGTGAACAGTCGCTGACTGGCCCACGTGTGACAACCCTATGCAGGCAAATCTATCGAATTCGCAGGCCGTCGTTAGCACGAGCTGCGCACATAACATTGAACGCGTGCCAACATGCTCCAGCCTGGTTCAAAATTGTTGTCAGACATGGATGTGGACAACCGCCCCTAGTCATCTTCACATGTATCTGCCCCCCCTCATGCAATGCCTACCTGGAAGGCCAACATGCCCGTCGGGCACGTAGCGTGCGTGCCTAGCTTTCGTCCCAGAGTTTACCAGCAGCCTGATACCCTTCCCGTGCAACGCACATCGAATCAAAGTCACTCAACCCCGATGCAAGGGCAGCAGCCTTGGCGCGACCGTAGACCCAGGAGGCCCATGCGTTCTTAGACCTGCCGCCGATCGCTGTGGAGTCCAGGAATTCAGCGTAGAATGTCCTCTTGCGCTTGCCACCTGCCCCTCCCCACTCATGTAGCCACGTACGCGCGTACAGATCAGATAATTACCCCTCTCCTCCTCCTCCTCCTCCTCCTCCTCCTCGTCATCATCATCATCATCATCATCATCATCATCATCATCAGCATCATCATCATCCTATGCCTCCTCATCTTCCTCCTCCTCCTCATCCCCTGTGTAGCGGAAGTGTTCCGCTACATGTCACCCCCTCGGCAGCACCAGTGAGCGCCTTTTGTAGCGGAAGGGTTCTGCTACAGGTCTTCCCCCTCGTCCTCCCCCAGCCTCCTCATCATCTTATTCTTCATCCTCCTCCTCCGCCTCCGCCTCCTCGTCATCCTCATCCTCCTCATCCTCGTCCTCATCCTCCTCCTCCTCCGCCCTCCAGGAGGAGGAGGAGCTCCTCATCCTGGAGGGCGGAGGGGGAGGAGGAGCTGGCACGAGCCCCAAGAGGGCCCGCCCGAGTCACCAGTAACAACCGTGCTTGCATCATGATGCATGCGCCCACCCATGGCCCCTGCCCACCGATGCTGGAGACGGAGGCTGCCTTCGCTGCTGCCTTCGCCTTTCCCTTGGCCTTTGCCTTGGGGGGGGGCTGCCTTTGCCTGCGCAGGCCTCCGCAGACAGCGGTCACGACTGTGAGGTGGGAGCTTGGCTTTTGCAGCTGCCCTCATCTTCGCCTCGATCTCCGAGGCGATATCTACAGCATCTACGGTGACAGGCGCCTCCGAGGCTGGCGAGCCATCTGCTGGTGCATCAGCGGCAACGTCAATGCCCACGTCGGGCGCGTACCCAGCATCAGGGCTGGCCACTTTCTTCAGCGGCATGAGCGTCAACCCTGGTGTGGCAGGCGATGGCGATGCAGCAGCCTTGGGCTTCAGGTCATGAAGGCGTAGAAGTGAGTCGGTCCCTGACGTGGTCGCCAGTGGGCCCAGGCGCCTGTCGATCTCCCTGGCGATGATGTCCTGTATCGCGAGCTGCGAAGGGGCGGCATCAGCGAGAGCAAGCATCGGCTGCTGTGGCGGTGCACTGTATTGCGCACCTGCTGCGGCGTCCATCTTGAGACTAGAATGCGTCTTGCGATATCCCATATCAGTCACGCACGCCAGTACGTCAGCAGGCGCTGGAACCGCATGGCTTGCGCCATATGCGAAGAGCTTCAGGTCGTCACTGAGGTTGCTAGGGTCGGGCGGCATCTCCGTCTGGTGTGGGAACCGCAGTGTGTGCTTACCATGGTCCTTCTCGAGCTGCTTGATCTTGCGCTGGATGTGCTTGGCGATCTCCTTCTCGGCACTCGGGGTGACGACGGTGCCACGCAATGCAGCTGCAACGAGGAGCGACGTCACCCTGCAAAGCAGCTTATTGCCAGGGCAGGTCACACCAACTGCAAAGAGGCGCTGTGCCATGGCGTTGGCCTTGGCGTTGATCACGATGTCGTCCGAACTAAATGTAGCCCAGTCCTCTGATGTGAAGTAGTTCTCAATTCCAGTACACCACTGGTTGTCGCGTTTACCAGAGGTAGGGCCACCAACAGCAAGAGCGGCGACGACGTTCGCCATCGCTGCAGCAAACGTGTTCTGCTGATCCGCAGTCCACGGGCCAGATGCGAGCTCAACGCTGACGGCAGTGCAATCATCGATTGTGAGCTTGGCCACGCCGATGGACTGGATGATCGCGTGGGACTGCGCCTGCAGCAAGCTCACCCTGGTAGTCGGGCCGTTGCCGAGGCTGATCTGGCTGTTGACGAATGCAACGCGCGCCCTGATAATGCTGATGAGACTCTCTGATGCCGCGGTTGCCATTGCTGTATCTGGGCGGAGTGGTGGGATACTGAGTCACAACACCTGGCGTCAACCGCAGCGTGGCTGTGGTAATGCGTGGAGCACGCGACGGCTTGAGCCACAAAATGGCTACGGGGGCTGGGTTGATTGAGGCTGTGCGCGGCTGTGCAATGCCTGTCTGTTAGGTCTGGCTGTGGGTTTGAAGAGGAGGATGCGGAGGAGGAGGGGGAGGAGCAGGAGGAGGAGGCTTATGTTCACAAAAATCCAAAAGTGCTAGGTAGAAGTTTTGGAAATTTCCAAAAGTGCTGGTTAGAAGTTTTGGAAATTTCCAAACGTTCCAGATAGATGTTTTGGATTCGTTTGAATATCATGGCAATTCCAAACCTTCTACCTAGCACTTTTGGAAATTTCCAAAACTTCTAACCAGCACTTTGGGGAATTTCCAAAACTTCTACTCAGCACTTTTGGATTTTCGTGAATGCGGCACGAATCACGGCTGTGTGACCGCCATCCCCTCTTATCGGGCCTTCATGCGTGTGCTGGGCATTGTCTTTTTTTGTTGTTTTCAGACAAACTCGCAACCTGCGTCGCGCGAGCATCGATCTGGAGCCAATCCGTCTAGGCCACACGCGTATGTTAACACTGCCCCCGTGCGCACATCGCGCATCGTGTATGTATACCTGGGTGACTGCTCATTCAGAGCTCGATGACCCATGGCCATGGTGGCTGGGCGTGGCTGAGTCGTCCTTGGCAGTGTCGTCCTCGGCTGCATCGTCCTTGGTAATGTCTTTCTCGAGGCCGACTGGGCTAGGGTTGTCGTCATGATACTTCTGGAGCACCTGGGAAATTTCGTCAACTGCTTCCTGCAGACTCTGACCATGCATTGGCTTAACCTGCATGCTCTTGCGCCTCATCACCTTCTTGACTGAGTCGAAGTACCAGGTCGTGCAGTAGTTCTTGTGGCGCATGTACGTGACGTCGGGCTGCGAGGCGACGACGGTCGCCACGCCAAGCGGCTCCAGAGGGCCCTTCTGGAGTGCCGTCAATGATTCTTCATTCACTTCGACTGCCAGCTTAGCATTCCTGCTTGCAGCAGTCATGACACGAACATTGTGCGTCGACCCGTCTGAGCAACGGACCTGGAGGACCGTGGAACACTGGATGTCATCGATCATGTCCCGCTTCGGCTTCTTGATTACTGGGATCGTATCGTCGTCGCAACTTCCGCTGAGTGAATCACCTTCGCTCAGCATAGTGGCAATCATGCGGTCGGTCTTCATATTGCGCTCCTTGATGAGGTGGTGCACCATCTCGGTTTTGCCGTTCAGGAATTTCATGCACTTCGAATCCGTCAGATCAGCCACGACGAACTTGTAGCCACCCTTCTGGATGACGGCTGGCTTCCAGCTGCAAGCGTTGCTGATGTTCTCGGACTTGATGCATACGAAGTCGAACTCAATCGACACCATGGCTGTGTAAAGCCAGGGCTGATACAAGAAGGGGAGCCCTCAAACACCTTTGCAAACCAAATGGCTACGGTGCGATACGTTGGCTGCTGGCATCGCTTGACCATGCCATTGTTTGGGGCCATATTGGGCCGTCTTGGGGCCATATTGGGCCGTGTTGGGGCCAT